AAATAGCGCAATATAACTATATGCTGCATATTTATAAATAGTAATTTATATTGTCATAGAACTTGTAAGATATATGATAGTGTTACTTTTTAATCCGATTGCAAGTGTAAGATGCTACTTAAAATATCTTGAAAGTAAGATTGGTTTTTACATTTATCGATTTGTAATTTTTTGTCTAAATTATTGTTTAACCGTTTTAGCCGTGGACCTAATGAAGTTATTAGCAATTATGCCAGTGGATATCTATTGCGGACTAAGAATGCTGAACGAAACGAAGGTGGAATCGGAGTAGGAGCGGCAGCGTTAGATTCTGTATATTTAGTTTAAGTATTTAATAATTTACTTTCATTCGATGGCTTACAGTCGTTCATTAACAGACTCTAATAACTTAAAAATGTATTCAAGTAGGTTTCTGGTAATACTATATATAATTCAATCAGATTATTGGTAGCACTTCCTTCTTACAAGTTTTTGAAAATTTTTTAATCACATCGACAGTCCAATCAAGTTTGTTTACCCGCAAGCCCATACTATCTGTAAATTGCAATTTTACTATTAAACTAATTAATCCCATTTAACTAGCTCATACGAAAAATAGATTAAGGGTGTATCGATGTTGGCAAGAAGGTGCAAATTGATAACTTCAATTCGCTTAATATATATGCGCACATATTATTTCTAGCTTTGGTTTAAAAAGATACCTAAGGCTTATCAAACTTTACAATTGATTGTACTAAGAATTGCATGATCAGCTTTTAGCAAATAGATTTAATCGGGACTATTTGTGCATAGCTGACACGGTTTCATATTTGAATAAACCCATTATTCTATAAATAACTATTATTTGATAAGAATTAAACTTTTGTTATATAAAGTGTTACTAGAATTCTCAGATATTTTAAATCAGCCAAAAAGTTTAATTCAACTCTTCTAACGGTGTACCGTACAGTATCGTATACGGGATGGGATAACTGTATGCTATACATGCCATGCAAAATAATTTGTTTTGACTCTTAAAATTTTATCCGAATAGAACAATTCTCTGATCAGTGACAAATAGGTATACCAGCAAAATTTAATGAACGCAAACAATTACAGATGTAATTATTTAAAAAAGATAGCTATGAAACAGAATTGCGGACATAGAAGAACAGTTACTGCTTCAAAATTGATATTAAAATATACAGAAAATAAAAAATAACGTACAGTATGCAAGTTATGTTCATTCATTCAATATGATATAGTACATTAATTAGAGACGTTAGTCGATCGATTAGTGTAATAACACTACGATAAATATTTTAAAGGATTCAGTGTGGGTACATGCTAACGCTAACAGGAAATCGTAAATTACTCTGAGGTCAAACGCTAAGTGGTGGTATACCTAGTAGCAAACATGAGAAATTACGATCAATAAATAAGGTACTTGAAGCAGAGTTTAGTGCATTAGCACGTATGAACCAAACAGAGATTAAAATTTTTATCTACCTTTATCGAATTAATGAGCAACACAACAGGTTATTTAGAATTCGCCATGATTGTCTGTCAGAGATTTAACGTTTACAGCGTACTCGCCAACTTTAGATCGTCTAAGTTGTGAAACGGCGTGCCTAAAATATGCAGTCCTCCATGAGTAGGTATCTGTATGTCTCCAAAGATTTTAAATTCAAATGAGCATAAAGATTTTAGTAGCTCATGACAGTAGCGGAACTACTATTGCAATAAAAAAAATTATTAGTTGTAAGTTTATCTTTAGGAATACAGTAATCAGCATACACTATGCAAATTTTTGCATAAAGTGACTCAGATATTTCTAACCTGTTCGGTAGTTCCTCCATATCATCGATATACATATTTTCGGAAATATCAGCGTCATAATTACCAGAGGATGCGATTTTACTTTATAATTAATTTGATAAAACATGCATCAGTTCGTAGTCTTAACCGCTATGCTATTTATAGCTATAACATCAACTAACCTGACAGCCCTACAGCTAAAGAATATAATGCGCTTCAACTTCTTGTTGTAAAAGAAGTAGTTGAAAGACCACAATATTCCTTCTTCAGCGTAGGGATCCGAATTCATATCGGGATTATAACTATTTGTTAATCAGTGGAAGTATTTGTTTACTTGACAAGTTACAGTATATGAAGACATATGACATAAAGTATGCTGAGCAATAAGTTAAATGATTCTGCAACGTTATTTAAGTAAGCGTGGTGCTTCCTAATAGTAACCTGTAGATATCACAATCCGTCAGTGTGATTTCATTATCTATAGTCTGCCATAAATGTTGCTGCATGCCAATATAAAACTGAGGATCAGCAGGCATGAGATTGGATTCAATGGCTTTCTTTACAAATTGTACACTCGGCTCTTGGCTAAATTCATCTGATTTAGCATCGCTAAAATCATAGTCCGGAAAGAACGATGCATTTAAAGTGGATACTAAGTAGTACAGTGTCTTGCGACTGCAGGTATTACAAATTTGTCCTTGGCCAGCTAAGAAACCTCCTGAACCTACTTATATTTAATCAAAGAAGAAAATTATAAGAGTATTACTATAGGTGAATGTTACACATGTGTCTGCAAGGACTCACTGCGTTGGCGATGTCTTGGTCTGTCGAGTTATTATGGTACAGTATCATACAACTGCTTGTTTTTGAACTAACATTTTGATAAATTACGCTTACATTTACGTATTGTACTGTCCAAAATCTACAACATACTGTAACTAAGTCAATTTCCATTAATAGCAAACTTACCAGCAACCACAGGGCTTCCACTTTGCGTATAGAAGGATTGTTGTGATGGGGAGAGTGCCTGCAAATCATTCGCAGTTTCTCCATCAATATTTAACATTTTATATAACTTCTTATCGTTGCCGGCCATTTTACAGGAATAACTTTCTACCCTGTTCGGTATGAAATGAAGATTGATGAATATGAATAAATATATGTAAAAATGTACGCTCGCATACTTTATGTATGGAAGTATTATAAAATCGTGTAATAATTGTATTTCAGTTTGTTGTTAATAATTATCACGGTGAATAATATTTCAATCCTGTACTGTACAGTATTGACAGTATTGCATATCTACTATACTTCTTCATAGTTGACCGATAGTTGAATATAACAACCTTAATGTACGACAAAATTCGAAATTGCTAGCAGTCTACACTTTCACGACCGTAGAAATCAAACATTAATTGAATTACATAGGTGTTTAAGGTGTTTATCATGCCATACAAACTACACCATAATATCCTATCGTTTGTTGACTGTGTTCGAGCGCGTTATTGCGAGCATTGAATTAAATCTGGCTATAGTCATTTGAACCATTACTTAACTTTAACTACTTGAGGAGAATTACTATGTGTTACAATAGTGAACCTTGTCAAGAAACTCATAATAATACCAATAGTCATAATTCATGAACGTCATCGTTTTCCAAAGGATTGTATAAGACGGTCGTCTTTTATACAGGTACGAGTATCCGAAGATAAAGAACTAATTCATGGCTAAACAATATCAGAACTCTAATAAACACTCTCGTCTTTCATACGAGTACGATTTATCTTTTCTACGCAGACATCTTTTACTGAACTACCATATAACGCATAGGAAAAATTGTGAAGGAATTACTAACGATTGAAAACATATCGTCAACTTTGAGTTGTTATTAGACTAGTAATGCACTATAAATGGATTCGCAATTGACTAGATCCTGCACTTTGACATTCTTTGTCATCAACGTATGCCTTAACCTGTTTTACAACACCTAGACGCGTCTAGTACAACATATTACAGTACTGGATAGGAATCCGCCTAAGGAATGTTTCGATTTTCTTTGAAAGTGAAAAATTCTCATTCTTGTCTCAGACTTGAAAAAGCCCGTAAAACATTTTACACGTCTAGGTACATGAATGTAGGACACAATGCTTAATACATACCTTCCTTCAATTCGACATTCGTTATTCTCTATCGATGATAGTTTGCTATTTAGGGACTCAAAATTAACATTCGGTAGTAGCTTCATGTTTGCTAGTAATTGCTCGAATTCTATTTGTTATCGGTATTGGCAACGCCAGTCATGGATTGAATCATCGATTAGAAGTGCGTTGTCCGTATATCCACGCTACAATGGGCAGAGTAAGGTTGTTCTACTTGGCAGATTTTAAGTTTTCGACCCTTTTACAATGAATAAATTAATTGCTTGTATTAATTCGTTGATTAGTTGCTTGTAGACAACTTGTAATGATGAAGTTCGACAATCGACAGTGGGCCCAAAAAAGCGGAAAAAAAAATTTTTATTTATGTACTGTACTGTTGTTTGTTTTCGCGGTACAGTTCTGAAGTTGAGGTCTTGACTAGTGTCCATCCAGTACTGTACGTTTGATACATACTGTACACTATACAGTATTAGACTACTTTAAAGGAAAAGATCGAATGTTTTCACAGGTTTGAACCACCCCAAATCATTACGGTACACTCAGGAGTCCTACTTCGGTACAGTACTGTACAGTCAGAGACTTGCAAGACTACAGTACTGTATGGTTCACAGTACTTCGCATTGTAGACTACAGTACTGTATACTGTAGTACGTACACTGTTGTCTATAAAGGCTACTCGCGATACGCATGCGTGATCGGCTGCCGCAGTAGGAATATTGACGTAAGTCAGAAAAAGTTTTTAGACGGTAGTACCTAACTTTCATAACGTCTTACTCTTTGAATAATCGCATGAAATTTGAGTTACAGACTCCTAGAATACTGTAATGTATCATCGTTTAAGCTATTTACGCTGAGTACCTGATTAATCGGGGTTATTATGGCTGGGCCTACAGTGTACAGTACCGTTCGGGAGAAGCAACAAGCTTGTACTGTACACCGTACAGTATGCACTGTACAGTACTGTACTGTACTGTAAATAGTAAACATGTAAATAGTAATTTCTAGAAACTTTGTACACTTGGTAGAAAAAGCTCAGTTGTTTAGTAGTCGACGTACAATACCAGTATACCTCATACCGTACGGAGAAGCAACAATCTTGCTGGATTCCATGACACACTACTGTTAAGTTAATACTGAACTCGAATTTTCAAGACTTCTGATTGTAACGGAGAACCAACATCAACATGGCGCAATCGAGTCAAGGCATTCAGGATGACCAAGTCGTCTGTAGCTTGACAGACCAAGAACTAATTACCATGTCGGTACGCGATTTGAACAAGTACTTGGCAAGATTTTCCAAAGAAGAGATAACAAACATCAAGCAACGCAGAAGAACGCTCAAAAATAGAGGATATGCGCAAAGTTGCCGAACTAAACGGTCGTCAATGAAAGACAATCTTCAATCCAGAAAGAAAATTTTAATGTCTCAAGTGCAAGAATTGAGAGCCAAAGCTGATAAAATAGCAAAAGATAGAGATATGTACAAAAGTAAATGCGAAGTCTTCAGAGAATTAGAAAAAAAATTACAAAATCATTGATAACGTAAACAGCAAGTGTTCTGAATCCATAACAGCACTGTATTATTTTGCTCAGAAAAGGACAGTAACCGCAATTTTCTATCACGATCTTTACACGAAAATTGCGTTACAGATACAAAGTAAGACAGCGGCTACACTACACAAAAGTGTACGATCCCAAGTAAAAAAATATAGCGTATCTATTTTACTCTAAAAAATCTTGGATTGGCGAAAATTGTGGCATAGAAATGACTAGGGCAGCGGCTAGGCAAGGTACTCGCAAATCGTATATTCGTTATTCAGAGCATCTTTTTAAATAACCTAGAAGAGCTACAAGTAGATATGAAACGATTGGATAGGTCCCGTGCAGAATTTTGATAGGAATGTTATGTTGTACTGATTTTTCATTTTAAAATGTATCAAAGCAAATAAGAAACACTTAAACTGGATGTTGGCAGCAGCGAAAGTGCACTATTTTTGAATCCTTTGACGGTCATGGTGTGATATTCCTAAAATTGCCGCTGCTAATGGTGGATAATTCGTCGAGTAAATGTTGGAAATGAATTTCTGACATGATAAACCGTCATTTAAATAGGCAATGGCTTCTCGTCTAAATTAATGTTGCAAATCGCTATTGGATCGACAAGAAAGAGTGGAAAATGCAATGCAAGATATGGAATACAGCACTTTCTGAACTCTACGGCATACGGGTACTACTGTACGCTTCATACAGTACTTTATTAATCCGCTGTGAAGAGATATGTAATACACATTACTGTATATGGATCAAATTTAAGCAACATCTACGTATGTAAATTGTAAACACTAAATCAGTTTTATAATATCCTATTGTAAATACACATAGCATTAGTCAGCTTATGATATCAAGCATAGTACCTCTATGCTGGTCGGTTTAAAGACTTCTGCGTAGTCTTATTGTCGGTGTTAGAATATAAATTGAATCGCTTGCACCTTGATCTCTTTTTAGATATGAATTTAATTATAGCAACTGATATTGCGTTGAAGATATCTGAATACGTTGACTCTACTATAATTATGATATTGGTAAAATCTAGTGAAAGTCATTATCTCCTTAATGTTATCATTAAACTCTTAATGGAATACTGTGGCAAAAAAGTCTCGACAATTACACATTGTACACTTTCAATCTGAATCTGTAAAGGTGTAGTAGGAATTGCTATCGATTTTATATATACCCTAGCGCTTACAGTATACTGCAATGGCTGAAATAAAGCATTTCAAATGGTACTGTATCAGATGTGCAAAACTACAGGAAAATAAAATTATTCTTCAACTAATATGGTATTTGTTGTGCTAAACAGCTAAAGGATACTTGGCTCAGGAACTACTGATTGTTGTCTAAGTAATGGATAATTTACTCGTATGTTATATGACACAGATATAGCGCTGAATTGGTTGCATGATACATATGATAGGACTGACTGTATCTCTTACTAGAGTTTATTGCAATTTGGTTTTCCTTATTACCGCTTTCGATACTTCTGTATATTGTATTGCTAGAATACTGTAGTTGGTTTTTAGCTAATGCAGTATAATTATGCTAGTACATAGTGTTTTGCAACGTTATGCATTAAAGTTTCCTCTTTAATCCCTATGGCGACGACTACGAAGCATTGCAACACCATACTGTGGAGTAAACTCATCATAATTGTTGGGAGCTGGGTATTAAAGGAATTCCTTCCTTAACATTCAACAACTGTACAGTACTCTGTATAGTTTAGCACAGTTAAGTGATGAGACTGCGCCGGCGCAATCTTGCACTTTTGGGGGGCACGTTCCGTCGGTCCTACCGGCGTACGTACAGTACTACACACTGTGCACAGTACGGTACTGTACTGTACGGTATGGTGGCAAAAAAACTGCAATGTCAGCAAATTTTCCCTTCCACGTTTCAGATGGGATAAGCGAACGCGACATCGTCATGAGTTATAATTTGGCAGAATATGTAGGTAGCACGTACGGTGTAATCCTATTTCAGTAGTAGAAAAGCGCTTTTCATTTTACATCAATACATGTACACCTTTCATCTTTAAACTAGCGTTGTAATCAATTAATAACATCATGACTATAACTCTTAATATCGCATTTTTTACTTTCAGTAGTAGTCGATGGTTTACAGCAATTGCAAAGTGAACCTTTCCTTCGGATTAGTTTTACCATTACGGTTACGTACCGTTTTTAGGATTTCAGATTATTGCGTCATTGTTGGCCAATCATATCGCTCGAACCAACCTACTGTACTGTATGTTGGCGTGCTCTTGTACAGTACGATGTACTGTACAGTTCACTAACAACTGTTTAAGTACAGTACTGTACAGTACAGTGCTGTACAGTATGTACTGTACACTACAGTACTATACTGTACAGACATACAGTATATATTTAGAGCGAATTCGGTTTTAATCAGCAGTTGAAAGCATAACATCGGGGAAAGGGAAAGATCTTCCGCCAAGCGGCGTCGCATCAGCGGTAGGCAGAGGTTCGTGTTTTTCAGAATCACTTTTGGGTTTAAGTGAAGTTGAGTGAAGGAATTTGTTGTGATCAAGGAGATCAGAAAACCCACTACATTCTAATATTTGATTGTTAATTAACATTATCTTAACGTGGTGTAACCTAGTTTGTTCAATCAAACTACAGTAATAATGATGGGTGAAGAGTTTACAGGCGACTTGGAGTCGTGTTATTCAACCAATATAAAAACGTTTCCTGACTGGTTAATACCGGAAGAAAATGGGTCTGGTTTAAAAGATGCAAATTACCAAGATCCTAATATTGCCACTTTCGATGATTTGGAAAGAATTCTTTCAGATCAATCGAACAATTTTAACGAAGATAGCCTCAAAAAGCCGATTCTGCCTGATGACATGGATTATAATCATTATGATAACGGTAGCCAGACTCCGAATATCTGCGATAAGTGGATGAGTTCTAACTCAGATTGGTTAAATTACTTTACATCGACCGCTGATGCTATTGGAAACGATCATGATGCTTTATGTTCAAATGACTGTCCCGATGATTCGACGGATCAGAACTCATCTGTAGATCAAGTAGAAAGCAACAGTCTCGTTGGATCTTCGGATGATAGCAAGAGTGATGATTGCAGTGTTATCGACGATATGTCTAACATTAACCGATCATCCGATGAAATGGCAGACGTTCAGGATCGTAATGAAGAAAAGGGCAAGATTAATGATCATCAAGATTTCACCGATGATGCTTTATGCCGCATGAGGACGAAAGAATTAAATATGTGCTTAAATGGTTTTTCGGATAAAAAGAAGGAAGAGATTAAGAGACGCCGAAGGACACTAAAAAATCGAGGATACGCTCAAAATAGTCGGGCAAAGCGTGTAAAAGAAGCAAAATCTATGCTGACCGTAGTCATTGAGCAACGCTCTATAATTACCAAACTGCGAAGAGAAAAGGAGCAGACAGCGCAAGAAAGAGACAAATACAAACAACTCTTACTTGCAAGCGGGAAAATTTGAACTTTTTTGGCCCATGGAAATCCTTCCTGTGAAAAGTACTATCGTAATTAGTAATTTAATTTTTATTTTGACTCTTTTCAGTAATCTGGATTTGAAATGATACTGAAAGAAATATACCCTCAAGTTTTCTCTTAACTTTAATGATAAAACTAAATTAGATATACAATACTTCATCCTTAGTATCCTTAGTAGCGTATTTTTTTTAAATATGCAATTTGAGAAAGGAATTACGCTGTTCTTTTGATAGAGAAGAGCAAAACCACGTACAGTACAGGAGATGAGGCCCACGGCTGGCGGCCATTGAGGTATCTCCCTCTGTAGTCAACTTTGTACAAGAGACCCAAATCACACTGGAATTGTGGTTTGAGAGTCCTTGTGTAGTTGAGAAACAGTACTGTATTATGGGATGTCATGGAATTTCTACTGTATTTGTTTACAAGTAGATTAATCACAGTTGATACGATAGGTCAGTATGTCAGAACGCGAAATGTTTACGTCCGATAACTGTATCAACTTTTTAATGACTGATGACTGAGATTTCTATGCTAGGAATTAGAAATTTCGTATGCCTTTGAATGCTGATATGTTAGTAAGATCAAGACCAGTTACGAGATTGTCTTACCTAAATGAATTATTTGCATTTTTAGCGCATTAGCAATGTTTTTATTGTTATGAAGGAAAGTACAAGCAATAATTTATTGAAATATCTACGATCTCTAATGCCAAAGATCTGCGGCAGTTCAGATTAAAACTGCTAAGATAATTCTTGGTCGGTCTTTTATCGTCGTATACTTGGCGCTCCAACTGCAGTCACGGCTACCTATGATTTCAAATGACATAAATGTCGATTTACAGGTGGTTCATTGACGTAGTTGTGCATCATCATAATATTAATATGCAATGTACCATTATACAATGAATTTTTCATAATGCTGTAACTGAGGCTGTAGGTACATTCCATATTAATGATATGATAATACACTTTAAGGAAGCTGAAAGCATTGATAACTACTGTAAGACGGTAGCACTGCTACAAGAAGCTTGTGTAATGTGGATACGATGTTTAGACTATAGTATGATTTTTTCAAGTTATGCGAAAATGTATTTTCTTCAATTATAGCTGTACATTGCGATTTCTTAAAATGTCCTACCAATACACTTTTTAACTTTATGTACTCATCGAGTAATCAGATTCTCTTTGGTGAGAAAAATAAAGATCTTTAAAATGATTCTTCTTTATGTCGATTTTAATTTTACCTGATTCATGACTTCAGCTGATTCCAGTGACCTATAGTAATGCATGGCTATACAGCACTAGAAGTCCCGCGTTACTCACTAGTAGCAATAACTCATTTTTTATAGATGTATAACTACGCCGACATTAATAGCGGTCTAATACTGACAGTGAAATAGAATGATTTCACTTTCTGCTGGTCAATTTTTTACGCTAGCGATTAACCTACTGTGTCTATCCTTATAACAACTTAACAACGTGATGTTTTAATACTTTTACACCGTAAACAATTAAGAGACGAGAATGGAAGTCTTCAACTTCGTATACTGTAGTTGTTATAAATTTATATAAGTACTGTAATATCATTTGAGATGTTTTATAGTCAGTCAATTTCAGTAGTGAAATAAAAATAGAAAATAAAGGGAATCATTTCCATTAATAAAATCTCGGAAAGGCAGCCAGACGGTAGAACTGGTAGCGGCCACGGTCCGATTGGCTGCCTACTAGTACTGAACTGATACAGTACAGTATAGCGCTGCTGTAGATACTACAGTACTGTACTGTATACTGTACAACAGTCCAACGCCAGGTTTAGACTAGTGCAAGGTGCGACTACTCCTTACAGTCTGTAAGGTACAAATAGTTATCGCAAGCTTAATTAATGAGCTTGCAGAAGTCATCATAATTTAATTAATTATTCCAGCATAACACTGGTTGAATATTTACAACAGTTATCAAGTAAATATCTCTGGGTGCAATAAGTTTGTAGTACATAACTCCATGTTCTACTTTAATGTTTACAGCAGTTATTAAGTCTGTATCACTTCGGCAACAAGTTTGTAGTACTGTACATAGCTCCACGGTCTAGATAAGTTTCTGTAATCGTCAGAACTTTCAATCATTAGTAAAGTATTGTATATGATTTTCATAGGACAATTTTATACTGTAGAGTTTCCATTTCCATTTTGATAGGATATCATTATTAATTAATCACTTGCATGCATGTCGATGGAAGAACTATCCGAAGAATTCTAATTGTTCAATGTACTGGATTCAGTCTCATTCAGCTAAACATAGGATACGCACAGCCCTCTTTAGGCGTTATCAATAGCTAGTTTAGTAGTTAGTATGCTAAGGTGTTAATACTATTTTATCAGAGAAATGCAAAAATTTATCGAGGTTGTAGAAAGATACGGATTGACTCCATCAACACCTGTAGGTAAGGTAGAGCTCTTGCTAAACAAGACTTTGCAATACGATAATTTACCAAGTTGTGAAATTGATAGTGATAGCCGTTGCAATGAGATCTTAGTTTGAATGTTTGTTACAATGTGACCTTCAAATTAACTGTACAGTAAGTAAGAACTGATTAGACATCACTAAAAATTTCATCCCTTAATGTATGGAATGGACGTAGGACGCACTCATAATTATACTGTATGCGTACTAGTATACGATATATCATCGTCAGGAGTCTTAATTTACGTCAACTTTACAAATATGCTATGAAAATGTATAAACTAATAGCACTATATTTATTGCTCAATTTTTACTTTTTTATTTTTGTAGCACTAGCAGTATCTGGTGGTGTTGATAGTATTTCTCTTTGTGTATTGGCTAGACAATACTTTCAGAAATTATTTGCAATCACTGTTGATCACCGGTATCATAATATCGATAGAACTTTGTGCCTGGTGGTGTTGGATTAGTGCCATCCAATATTCTCATATTGTATCACTATTTATACTTTAATTAGCTTACGTGCAGAAAGTTCACAAGAAGCTCAAAATGTCAATGAAATATTGGATAAACTAAACATTCCGCACAAGATAGTGTCATGTAATTGGAATCAAGAAGTAAATTTTCGTAAAGTACAAGAATTAGCTAGGCTAAAGCGTTATAGGCTGTTAGGGGAAGAATGTCAAAACCAAAATATTCAATATTTACTAACTGGTCATCACTTAAATGATCAAATAGGTGAATTCTGCAAGATCATCATAGTAGATTTACAGAATACAGTGTCCAGTACTAGATATATTACATACCTATTTCATCATGTGCATAACCTATTCATTTCTAACGGATCGATTAATACAGTATTTTTAATACGAGTATGATCGAGAGATAGGTGTACAATATTTGCTAAATTTTATGTAACATAGCTTTGATAACTTGATTTCATTAATGAGAACCATTGAATTTAAATATTACAGAGACATTTATCTTTCGGTTATCTTGCAAAAGTGGCATAGACGGATTATCATGCATGAAACTTTCTCAAAATTTGCGATTACATTTTCCACCTATAACGCTTATTAGGCCTCTATTATCCTTTCAAAAGGTAAATGTAAGCTTAGTGCATAGTGATAGTAACTTTTATTTTTATCAGATTAGTTATACAGATTGACTGAAGAGCTGTCATTATATCATTATGATTTTCTAATGTAAGTATTTCAATGACAGTTCGTAATAAAATATGTAATTATATTTATAACTTCAGACAGATATGCACTATAGTGATGCAATCTCATTAGCAACATTGAATGAAAATAGGAATCGCTTATGTTTTAGACACAGAATAACCTTTTGATGGTGCTTATTCTATTCTGACAGACACAACTACAAGAAGTATGTCATCAAAACAAGGTCATTTGGATCGAGGATCCGTCCAATATGTCATTGATGTATAAACGAAATCAGATTAGACAAGGACTAGCAGCATTACAAAGTGCAGTAATTTTAATTAAACTGATAGTTTTGCTTATACTGTAGTGACTAAATCTTGTAACTGATGAAACTGTCAATTATAATCCAGATAGCTCCAAGAATATTTCTTTAACAACTCTGGTCGCAAGCTCAATTGAAAGTTTCAAAGAAACTGGTTCTATTCTCAATAGGAGGGGTATGCCAAATACTTTTCAGTAGCTATGTTGCAATGATCTTCTTGTTAATAGCATGCCTGCCATTGGATTAACAAATGAGACATGTGGTATTGAATTTATGCTTTTTTATTACAGTTATAAATCATATTCAAGGCAGTTGCGAGATAAATCACGACTGGATATTTGCCACAGCCCATCTGAATAACCTTCTAAATGAAGAAAATTATATAGTCAGACGTTCTTTGTCAAGACTTTGCCAATATATTGGAGGCCAAACGTATCCACCGCTGCTGGAGTCGGTGATAAAATTACATATGGAACTAAAGAGAATTCTTACTATGGACATTGCTAATGACAATAAAGAGTGTTATGTCAAGAGTATAGCTGGCTGCGTGGTGTTTTGTATTAATGATACAAAAAGGAAATACTTTACAAAATCTAAAAATGCATCTACAATTGTTATTATCATCAGTAGACAACCTCAGAAAATCTCTATGATTCCAATATTTGATGGCGTCAATCTCTGGTGGGATAACCGATTTCTCATAAATTATCAATATAAAGATAACAGATCGTCTGATCCTCAAGATTTGTTTGTAAGACACATGCAATTTTCAGATTTTTCCTTGATTAAGAAATCCCCAAATCGTTCGTCCATTTCGAATATTCATTTTAGATGTAGACTTGGACTACCAGTCATTATAACTGTAAATAATCAAGTCGTCTCAATTCCACACTTTAAGTATAAAGATACTGCATATTTTCGATCGCGAGATACCGAATTTTATTTTCAATCTTATTTAAAGCATGAGTTATTATAAAATAAATAGCGAAATTTTCCTATATTATTCTAATTAATTTTAAAATGAATTAATGCTAAGCAATCAATATTTATGTTAAGCAATGTACTGGCACGAAATTACTTTAAATACGATCGGAATTAGGTTTCCATTGGAGAAAAAAAAGATTTAATAAACAGATGATACAGTGTGTTATGCCTATTAAATCAAATCATCAAAAGCAAAACTGAGTGTTACCTTGAAAACTGACAAACTAATACAGTAATATGACATTCTATCCATAATTTTCTAGAGCTCTTCGTAAAACGTTGATAGTAAATACCACATCGGCTTTGGTAATACACATTGGCGGCTTGATTCGGAATACCTTTAAAATTGATTTACAGTTATCAGTGTTAGAATACGATTAGTCAGTAAATTTCAATGAACTAAGTGGCATGACAAAATATTTCTAATTGAAATAGTTATATGACAATCATCAGCTTTAATTGTTATATTATCTGAAAGCGTCATCAACCTAGAGTAACGTTACTGAACGCGATTTTTTCACCGGAAACAGTATAGAGTCGAGCAACTGTATATCACGGTATATGTAATGACTTTGAAACTATTGAATTACTCATAGCACTTACATTGCCGTAGAATCCTCCTTTACCGATAAGAACCCCCATATTTTTACAATCCTCCCAAATTTTATTAACATCCGGCAAAGGCAATGGAGTTTTTGAAGACTAAAATGTTATACGAGAAAATATTTTTTATTAAAAGCAGGATTAAGATTTTGATATTTTATTAAAGTGTATGAAATGGGAAATCAACATCACGGTTTTAGTACCTTTGATTTGACAAATTCGACACCAATCATTAGCCCTTTGCCTCTGACATCACCCACAATTTCGAATTCATCCCGAAGCTTGGCTAGTTCTTTCAATAAAAAGGTGCCCAATTCATCAGCTCTTTGCATCATGTTTTCTTGATCGATGACCTAAAGGAGGGAGTTAATAGTAGCACTAAAATGTACATATACCATACGATGTAACAATTTTTTCTTACATCAAGAACAGCAGAACCAATAGCACAGGCAACAGGATTTCCCCCAAATGTGTTGAAATGTATAGCCTTGGTCAATGATGCAGCAATTTCTATGTACGTTTATAAACACAAACGGAGATAATTTGATATTGTAGTAATAAACGCTCATGGTAGCCTTTTTGTATCATCATTATTTAAAGTAAATCTTCCTTCATATTATTGCGTAGACTTGCCAACATGGCAGATCTTCTATTGTATATCAAGGTATACACTAGTTACCTGGTGTAGTTACTACTGCACTAAGTGGATATCCATTACCAATTCCTTTGGCCATTGTAACTATGTTAGGATAGATGATCAATATATTCATTACTTTGTATAATGTGAGATATCAATGAAAAAAGTTATCTAGTTCGAATAAATCCTAGTCTTTACGCTTCCATACCAATGTCTGGTGTGACTCCGCTAGCTTCAAATCCCCAAAAATGTGAACCTGGGCGAGCAAACCCTGTCTGAACCTGTGTAATGGTGAAAGATAAATGTTAAATAGTAGGAATAGTATATTGCGAATATAGCAGAATTCCATAAACCCATGTTGTTCGAAGTATCTTTGTTATGTATTAATTCACACTCGTCATACAAAGTTAATAAAGTTACCATTAAGTTTTTCCTTTACTAGTAAAGTCGCTAACCTCGTCAGCTATACATACGCCACCTCGTTCTCGCACCAATTCATAAGCTTTTTTTAAGTAATTCTTCGGATACTGAACTGACCCGCCAACACCCTATTACATCAAAATACATCATTTTGCATATGAACAATCCGTATGTAAATATCTTATTCCAAACATAAATTCACTTTATGTAACCAGTATCTTAGATACCTAAATAAAATGTAACAAGGATATTTTAACACAAAAGTAGCAATATGCTGCATTGCATGTGCTTGCATCTCGTTTATAGATTTATGTCGAATGTATAATTACATACTTGAATTGGCTCTGCTATGAATCCAGCAATTTTCTGAGGAACCGAATGATTAAGTACATCTTCCAACTGATCAACGTAATTATTGCAAGCTTTACACTCCCCTAATCATGATGTAGGAAACTTTTGGTTAATCAAACATGATTACCAACTTAACTATTGCAATCTAGTAACCGACAATGCAATAACCACCCATTGTACCACAAGCAAGTTACCTTCACTGCAGTCACAATCCCTGGTAGTCTTTGATTAAATGATAAAATATAAGGTTATTTAATCTACTTTTGCCATGACACATGTCTTTATAGAATCCAACATCAGGATTAGCAAGAATTAATGTGACAATATAGCAACTAACCGAATACAGTGTTTATCTAAGCATTACCACATAGGCTTTTAATTACCAATTTATTATTCTTTAAATTTTTTTACCTGAACGACAGAATCTCTGCATCGTGAGCCTCCCCAAGGTCCACGATAAACATCAGGATTCATGGTCTAGTAGTTAAAAAATTTAATTTGGTTGTCGCGTCATGTGAATCTCAATAAGATTAATGACATTCAATTACTACTTAATGCCATTAAATAGGCCTGAATGTGTGACACTCTTAAAAAATACCTGAACGCAACCTAATCTTGTAGGCACGGGCTGAAGCCAAGTTGAATGGGCAGTTATGCCCATCGTGTAGGGGCTCACACCATGGTAAGCATTTCTATGAAGGAAGGAGGAAACAGATACTTAAACTTATATTTGAGGTCACACTCATCGCTAACATTGCTTTAATTAATTAATCTGTCTTTATTAGCTGAAAGAATTTTTCCGCTTCTACCTTAAAGAGATTAAATCGAAATTTCCAGTATGCACACGTGCTAATAACATCGCCAGATCGTTAGCTTCTGATCCACTGTTAGCAAAGAAGCAAACCTAGCAAGAGTAAGGTATTAAATAAAGAAAAGAGTAAATGTCAATATAATACGTGCAGACATAAAAATCGGTAGGCTTTTACCTTTAAATTACCAGAAAATTTAGACATTAACTTTTCAGCATATTCATGTATTGACGGGTATACGTAAATACTGGTAGTATGCCATAATTTTTTCATCTGTTTTTCAGCAGCAGCTGTTACTACTCTGTATACAAAAAAGTTTTAATCAGGACAACTTATAACAAAATACGAGCTTTTCAAGCACCCTAAAAATCTGAACAGCCCCAATTAGCATTTGACTCTTATACAGTATAATGTACGGTTTATACAACATATCTATAATATGTTCTACTCACGGATGACAGTGTCCTACGCTAACCGTAACAATTCCACCAAAAAGATCAAGAAATCGTCGTCCATTGATATCAAAAAGCCATTGCATATGACCCTGTTGGTAGATAGTCATTGATTGTAAGAATCAGGCTGCACCAAAATTTAAATTAACACTCATTCTAACGTCTCTACGTTCGTTATCGCTTGTCCTGACCTGATGAACTACCAAGGGGTCCTTGTAGTAAGTAACCAGACTGGGTGTTAATTTTTCCTTACGTATTTGCATAATTTTGCTTGCTGACATACCCTATAAAAATAAATGACCAAGCCATACCAAGAGATATATGAGGTTGTTACATTATGACTTAAAGCATCGCTCATTCGTCTAAAATACAATATGATAACCGATATTGGTTACATTACCAGAAGAGCATACAATGTCATTTTTGAACCTAGTGTATTTTATGTTATTGCATAAAAGTAAAAAAATGCAAAAATAAAAATTTAAAACTACATATTATCTTATCACCGCTGAACCTCTCATTAATAATTTAGCAGTAGTATTAAATACGTTAGTCTGCTAATTGATATTCGCCGTACATACTGTACTCCGTATCTATTAACTATACAGTACGGAATATGCTGGTAGAACCGATGGGCAGTCAATGCTAAAAATCACATATTGCAAAATTGCCTAGTTAAAGAAATTTAAGCCAAGCTTAAGCATGCGTATAATTAAAAGGTTCATGGCCATATCTTCTAAAAAGAATAGATAAATATTGTGATATTGCAATGTACAAATAATTGCTCGATAAATCTCTCCAACTCGAAGTACTTTTATTTACACATATTTAATATCTTATAGTATAGTAAATGCAATAATTCCACTGTGATATACTTAAATACATCGTGCCTAATAATCTTTAAGAAATGGATGCTTTTCAAATGCTCGCATTTGCAAACTGATCAATTCTATGTACTGGTAGTATATCTTGTGGAAGCGAAATGATCAGCATATTAGCAAACTTTTTACTTAATAATGTTGATTTAGTTTATTCCCATTTACAGTATTATAATCCTCAAAACTTAAATTAATAAACCTTCATTTACTAAAGAAGGGAATAGAACACTGCATAAGTGGAAAGATACCAGCTCATTCTAACGTTCTTTACGAGCAATACCTTATACTTTTCAGGCTTAAAGTCGCAAGGAGGCATTTCGATTGCTGTAGCTGAAAGAGATAGCAAAGCATGCGAGCATGATAAAGTGATTATTTCCATTTGAGGGAAAGAAGTTACAGTACAGTGTAGCATCATAAAAATACGAATACACGAAGGTTATTACTTAATATTTTGCAGTTAGAAATAGTTATGTTCAGACAATAAAAAATAGAGCGTCAGTTAATCAATATGATAGCACATTCGATTAATTCATCGCATAATAGTGAATTGGAAAACATTGAAAATTCGGCCTAAGTGAGACATTTCAGGGATCTCTCAAGTCAAAACTTGACAAGGTCCCTTGATATTTTTAATGATAGTATCAGAAGTTGTTGCATTACAGCGTCCGAGCAAATTCTAGTCTTTTCTGATAAAAAAAGATCTATCGTACAGTGTGCAAGCCATTTAAATGAATTTAAAATTCGTTTTAGTATTATCGTTTTGTTGTATCATCCACAACAAAAGAACTGTTTTATGCGCGTGTAAAATAAAATATATCACGCTTCTGAATATGCTGTAGGTTTAATTTTACGATTGAAAACTTTCGACTAGTTTTTGCTCTTTTATCATTCGATTGCATATGTCTCATAAGAAATTTTTTTTCTGCAAGTTAATCATCGAATTGTACAAATACTATTCATCAGCTAATGGTTAATGAACTGTATACACGTAGTTCCTAAAAGATAACACCCAATACGGTTTATACGCTTTTATTTTTCTACAATCAAAATTGAATACGTGTATAATTAATTTTTTCGCTTAATTGCATGAGTCTTGCAGACACTTTTACTTTTTGCAAGGTTCAGTTAACTACGATGATCACGGTACGATACTACAGTCTATCAGCATCGATAGAACTAAGTTAGACATCAAAAATCCGATTAAGTATCTTCCATTAGATGCTATGTTACACGTTAATTAACAGTAAGCAAGTAAGTAAATTAATTTCATAACGAGAGGATGACTATTCCACTTCAAAAGAATGCGTTTTATTTTGCTGTATCTTTACTTTGACTTGATCCACTAGTCACAATCGCCGTTTCTAACTGAATGTTTACTTACTATATCTTGCATTATTAGATCGGCAAATCCATCGCATGATCGAAATCTTGGCATTTAAACCGCTGACACCTCGCTTGCTTGCATTCAACATGATCATCTTCTACTTTTTACCACCACCGCAGTGAAAAATGGAGAGAAAATCGGATCTAAAGAAGAATGGAAATGGACGTTTATGCAGACGCGTTCCCTCGATAAATGATGAGATATTTATTGTTGTATCGATATTTCAAGCTGTTTTTGATTGACTGATGAGTAGTATCTGTGTGTAGGCAATACCCAGCAAATCGAATTTGTCCATGATAAACATCTTATAGATCAGTAGTCGCATTTTATTTTGCATCCTATACAGTGTATACGGTGTAGACTCCAATATGCGGTAAGGTGTTTTATTGATTATGATCATTATCTATAGTATAATTACTGTATGTACGATTATCATCAGTAATCAGATAGTCCACTCCAATGGTACAGTACTTGGCAATCCATCATAGCATACTCTTAAAAAAATAAAATATTTGCACGTATTTTCTTTCTATCTCTTGTATTCAGTTTTATATGATATAAATGGATGGTATAGGTGTGTTTATAAGGTGGATGTAGATAAATGGATCGTATCAATTTCTTTCACTTTTATCGACCATTTTTTAAAATAAGACACAGTACTACTGTACATAAGACTATATCATTCCAATTTTGCCTTCAATTCCTACTTGTGTGATGATTAATTGAACGAATTTATCAATCCTGCTTGACTACTTTGTTTTATCTCTACAGCATGCTGTTGATCACTATAAAAAGCAAAGTTCAGATCGACTTTAACGGAGATTACTGGAATACAGCACTGTATATGAATGATAGGTAGAAAGAATTCAAAAATTAAAGATATCAAGTTGTGATGAGAGCATCCCTCATTCCTTTTGACAAATGTTACTACAAATATTGAATGTTGATGACGTCTTAGGTATGTGCTACTGCGTTATATTAGGAGTAGAACGCCTACTACTGTACATTACATCTGTTCGACTTGTATGTAAACTGTATAAGTATAAAGAACATATTTTCGATGCATTGCAGCAGCTAATCTTATCATGATACGGTGTGCAACATGCATGAGGTTCATGAACAGGAAACATGCAGCACACTGCACGATAACAACTTATCATTCCAATTTTATCATCTTTAATCTATAAACACTAAGGCAATGTTTATTTTTAAACTGATGCAAAATTTTATCAATAACAAGTAACCTGTTGGCATAGTAGCCACTCGGTAATGAGTCAACAAGAATACCTTATAATAGATTCACGTGAAAGTCAATAAATTAATAAGTAATAATGATAATATAATCATCAAATCGTATGCCTGTTACTGTAATTTATTAACAACATATGAGTACTGTATGTATATATATACTGTGTAAACGTGCACCATGATAAGTAGTCTTTAATGCTATTTATTCGTATGCAATACTTCGTATTTGACAAAGGTAGAAATATGACTAACCAAGTAGCCATCCTCGTAACACTGTACTCACTACTCAGTTATAGTGTAGCATAATATCCGTGACTTTTAAATCATTCGAATTTAACTGTAATTTTGGGGCTTTTTTTCTGTTTCAAAATAAAATAAAATTTTATACAGTTACACTGTACTGTACACTCAGCCCATGGACTACTAAAAAGAAGCAGCTAGAAGTCCATGATGACTCAGCACTGCACTCTACAGTAGTGTACAGTACGGGGCAACATCTTTATCAATTTTATCATTACCCACGCAAAATCAAAACTCTTGATACTGCAATGTAGCTTTCAAGATACTATCGGGCGGTTAATAAGGCTCTAAAAGATAGAATTCGATTAGTGAAGATATCCTACAGAGCACTGATAAATTCCTCTTTTAAAAGAATGAATTAAATCGAATTAAAATCTCCAGTTCGATCATATTTATAAAACTGCAGTATTTGTTCGTGCAGCATCTGATGTAAAAGATCCCAACAATAAAAATAAAAGTAAAGTACTGTATACAGTATATAAACAATACACTATAGTGCAGTATTGTGCTTCGAGTGGAGTAGTTGAACGCTAGCTTAACCTTTACATTGGATATGTTCTCCACTGTCCTACTTGACATTTAAAATGCCTTGTAATGCATGGTTGCACACTACATTAACTGTAGTGTATGCATACTGCAGATTACGAATAATGCTGAAAAAGTATGCTACTGAAACAAAATGTGATACTGTAAAACTAACATTGAGTATGCTATAATGGTATTTATTTTTTAACAGTAAAGTACTCATAAGTAGTGCTGTACTTTGCAGTTAGTACACCATGAAGTTACAATCAACGATCAGTGTAGAAACGATAATGATTAAGGTTTCAATAAACGTTAAATAATAATAAGCAATTTAAACTACTGTAATTTAGATTTGGATCAATATCGATCCTCAAACTTCAATATTTGCGCTTTCAATAAACACATTTGAAAGTTAATTTGCGGATTTTTGATAACATAGAATTTAATGTTCATTTTTTGGTTCATATCTAAATGAAATAACGCACAGCACACGTTATATCGTAGATCGGAAATTAATATCTTGCATGATAAAGAAACTGAGTACAGTAAATTTAGAAATTGGAAGTGAATTAGTGTTATTCACAATTCACTACAATACATGGAAAGGGATTAGTTCTTCTTACCTTAAATTCCTGTTGCTCCATTACATTGCATAACGTGTACAATGCGCAAAGATGTCATTCATTAAAGCGTCTGTATAAATTAAAAAGTTTACAATTTTTTGAATTCTCTATCTATTGGAAAGCATACATAACATAAAAGGGAACTAAAATAAACCCTAATGATTATGATAGAATTGCCCTGTATATGTGACAGTACTGTTTTAATCGTGAGTAGGCGTGTATATTAACTCCATATAGTATACAGTACACCGTACTACAGCACTGTACTGTACTGCACTGCAAAGATGCCATTAACCTTAAAGTGTCTGCACAAATTAGACGTTTATAGAATTTTGAATTCTTCATCCTTTGACAATTATATATAAAGTAAGTACTAGTGATTACGATAGCCCTGTATTTGTGTGACAGTACTGTATTAATGCACTAAGCACTAACTCCATACAGTTTACACATTCGAAAGTTAGACTTTATGAAATCGAACTCTAGGCCTTCAAAAGATAACTTACTGCGAGCCCTCGATATTCCTATACTTTGACTGGCTATGGGTACCTCATCAGCCCTATAGATAGTTAATCCCCATCTAAAATTATCACTCAATTTATCTGCAATGAAAATAACGGCATCATTACGCTTACCATACAGTATATTGATGATTGGTTGGTTACACGTCTGCTTACAAGGAAATCACAAGCAGCAACAGTAAATTAGTACGGCGAAACCTCACATTAACTAAATTACAGTGTATAACTCTTATAGGGATTAGGATGTTCACGTCAAATCAGATTCTTAACATAGAATGATTTAGATTGATTTTTATTGGCTTCAAATTTTCAAATACGTATTTATTGCAGGATATGTCAGAAAGAAAATACTTCTATAGTATGTAGCATGAATAATGTCAAGCAGTAAGATTACACTTTCTAGTTACATATATTTTAAATAAATGCTTTTTTTAAATCACGCCTCATACAAATACTTTATGCAATCAGATTGTTTAGTTATAATAATGGCTTTGTTGCATTAATGTTGTGACCATTGAATTGTTTTCAAATCAATACCATCCTGAACCATTTCATATAATGGGCTAAACAATTATTTAAATTTTACAGTAATCAATGATCAACATCCGATGGATATTTACGGTATATCATATTTATAGACCATAATTTAAAGATATCGGGTTTAAAATTATAACTTACCTCATCTCTCGTAGATTCCTGACACATCTAACACATTTATCAACTGTGTAATCAACCTCTGCTTCCGTTGTAAATCTTCCAATACCAAATCGGATTGAAGAGTGAGCTAAATCTTCATCGGCGCCAATAGCTCTTAAAACGTAAGACGGCTCCAAAGAAGCTGATGTACAGGCGCTGTGTAGGGGGATAACGACATTAAAGACAACAATTAATCTTTACGCTTTTATTAATGAGTTAATTAAGTACATTTAGTTCTTAATTACCTCCCTGACGATAATGCTATGTCCTTCATAGCCATTAATAAGCTTTCTCCTTCTACGTAAGCGAAAGATAGATTTACACAGCCTATAATTTAATTAGAAGAATTTAAATACGATATTTCCATTTTCCATAGTCATATTTCACAGGCGCTCTTTGTAAGTAACTGTAATTCATGCAGACCTGGAAATGAATATTCCGGCTCTCCATTTCTGATTACGAAATCTAGTTGTGATGTTATCCCATCAACTAGGCGTTTCGATAAAGAACTGATACGCTTATGGTCGTATTCCATTTCTTCTTGAGCAATATCACAAGCAGTTCCCAAACCTACCACTAAAGGTGTAGGAACGGTTCCACTTCGAATACCTCTAAAATTATTGAATTTACAGTTGATCTATTACTGTAGACACAGGTTTAGCTCTTCACTTACTCTACTCTGTACCACTTAGTGTGAATTTTTTTAACTAAAGATATTATCAATTATTTTACGAACCTTTCTTGTCCTCCACCACTTTGAAGAGCTTCAACTCTTACACGAGGGCGACGACGCACATACAGGGCACCGATCCCTATACAGTAAATCAAATTCGACAATAAATACTCTTGACTTGTCATTCATACTAGTAAGACACGATAATCAAATCTGATGATATAGTTACCTTTCGGACCATATAATTTATGACCACTGATAGACATAAGATCAATCTTCATCTTATTAACATCGATAGGGATCTTTCCAACGGCCTACAGACAAATCAAATTATTAACTTAGCTAGTGAGAGACAAACTACTAGTTATCTCTCAAACTACGTATACAATCTGCATTACCTGAGCAGCATCGGTGTGAAAAAAGATCTTATTGGATCTACAGATAGACCCTAATTAAGAATGTAGGTTAGTATTATTTTATAAAGGTTGAGCTAACAAACTAACAAATTCTTGCCAATTTCTTCAACGGGTTGAGTGATACCAATTTCATTATTTACAGCCATAATCGAGACTAAGCCAGTGTCAGGGCGAATCGCATCGCGAAATTTCTATTAGTAGTAGCAAAATCCGGTATCATTTTAAATTTTGCAATCTAATATGCTTTAATATATCACTGACCTCAAGATCTATGATGCCATTTTGTTGTACTGGTAAATAAGTAACATCGAAACCTTCGTGCTCCAGAGCACGACAAGAGTCCAAAACACATTTATGCTCCTGCGAGAAATACGCTATTTAAACTACAAGAATGCCTCCTCCGTATACAGTAGTAAGGTATTTATGTCAAACACTGTAAGCTTTTAAATCATAAGATGTACAAGATCGATACCGTTTGAGTAGTAATGACATGCTTCTTTTTACTTTTATAAAATCTGCCTACTCCCTAAGCGCAGCAAAAATAGTTTCAAATATAAACAAATTAGACATTGATAAACTAATAATTACTAAGGTAATATATTTCTTGTTTAGTCGATGATTTACAAAGTGTAACAATATTTTTATTCACTGCTGACGTTATACTATTTATAACTACTAATTATACGAGTAATGTTGCTGAGCTAGTGCCGGTAATCGGAAATAGTCGTGTACAGCATACTTTGATAGCAACATTGTTTGATTCAGTAGCGCCACTTGTAAGAATGATATCGCGAGGGTCAGCTCCAATAAGAGCGGCAACTTTCTGCAAGATACATTGTCAGGAAGAAATATTGAGAAAATACATTCAGAAGTGACGAAACGCAGGTTTAACATCACCAAACATGTAAAATACTACATTGATCTACTATAGTGAAGTTAAGCCTTTCTTATACCTGACGAGCAATTTCCACTGCTTCTTCACTTTCCCAACCATACGGATGAGTTCGAGAATGAGGATTTCCGTAATATGAAAGTAAGTAGGGCATCATTGCATCAAGGACTCTTGGATCCTAATTGAAGTGTGCATTGCAATTATTAAGATTAAATGATACCTTATCACTTACAGGCAACGTAATTGTACTTGTTTTAAATTTTACAATAATTGAAACCACAATTATAATACCAATAGTAATATATACTCGTATACACAGAATGTCATTAGTCAATTTAATATTTTCAGCTTTATTACCAAAGGTGTAGTTGCTTGAGCATCTAAGTATAATGCGCGACCCATACTTTCTGATTCTTCTACAGGTATTATAAAATTGAATCAATCTGAAGTACTGAATTAATATTTCACGAAATTGATTTTACTATAACATGCTAATAAAATTCGAAAATTGAAGCATTACAGCTACGAGGTGCTGCAAATTTTAAGGTATGAGCACCATAATAATACATAAACTATAATGACCATATCTGACTATCGGCTACCCGTAGAACCACTCACCCATACGCTCTCGAGCCACCGTAGTAAAATTAGCAGTTTTGAAATGTTTGCAAGTATTCATTGGCATTAATCGTTGGGTGGAAGTATTTCCACTCAAGATTCGTCGAATCGTTGGCAACATTATTGCAATTGACTACCGAAATTTTAGCCTCAAACGAAAATATCTCAAAAATTCAGATTGTTGTTTACCCTATGGATTGATCGATTCGTACCGTAATGAATCAGCAAGTTTTGATCAGAAGTGAACTGCTGCTATCGATAGATTATTTAGCTGGAGGGCTTGTATTTTAATTTGATCTATTTATTAACTGTAAGTAGCAGTGTTAAGTTGTCACTAATGGCTTATAATATCAATCAATACTACTACACTGATGATCTGAATAGCTGAAATTATATGCGAATTATAACGTACTCATACAGTCCTCTTTGATTGATTTCATAACCAAGGGAATTTGCACAAACTAGTTGTCAAAGGTGGTCTTCAGGTAAGTGGGGCTACTGAGCATGCCCATTGTACAGTCTAATATCAGTGTACACTGCACAGCACGGTATACTACAACAGTATATATACCCATCTAGTGTTTAGGCATGTTTACTGTACAGGCAGAGGCCTGGATTTGAGTACCGGCCGTCATACCGGACTAGTCTAGATATTAGATTTTCATTGTCATAGTTAGTACAGTATGAGCATTGACCACTGAGCAGGCTACAGTACTATACTCGAAAAAAGAGGGGGGGAGGGGGCACCTACATACTAAAAGCAGAGAAGCAAAGCGGCCCGGACCGTCAGTGTAAAATAATATGGAGGCCTATATTATTTTCCGCTCATTCTACTATACGATACCAATGGAATCGTACGTATATCATACTGCACAAAATCAACTTAGCAGCCTATTAGCAGCTAATTTAGATGTCAAGCGCAGACAGAGTAGTGTGTGCCGTTACAAACAGCGATACAGTTGAAATGATCTAAAAAATAATAATAATTGGCCTCCACAATATTAGTACTGTACTGGATAGTCAACGATCGCTTTACGTCCCTCTTTTCTTTTCTTTCTTTTATGTATACTTATTGTACAGTAGTCCCTGCCATAAGCTGCTAAAAGTGTACAAGGAAACCTGTCTCGAACACTGTCGCCTCTGTAATTGACCACTTTTTATTAAAAGTGAATTTCTGCATGAATGTCCCCTCGTCCACTGTGTCCACTCGCTCCATCCCACTGGCCGATGAAAACCGATGGAAATGAAATCATTTCTACTTTTAGCATACAGTACAGTACCAGTGCCATGACAATATTATCACTGTACGACAGTTATGACGTAATATCCTAACTTTAATCTGGAGTCTACTGTAGTACAGTCCAGTCCAGTGCAGTATTAGTTGCGTGTTGATTACAGTACAGTACCGTACGTAATATCACACAGTACAGTGCACAGTACTGTAGCTTACGGTGCACAGTACTGTACTGGACTGTACTGTTATACTGTATATAAAATTATGTTCCAACGTAACCAGTAACAAAAGTCTGGAGGAGTCAAAATTGAAAACATTAAACCGAAATAACTGCTAGGAAACGCAATCAACCGGACTATGGATGGTAATAACCCATTCGATATGATTAAAGATATCAGTTATTATCTTCGCAATGATTTACCCTATGATTTTAATAAATTTGTAAATAGATAGAGTGGTCTTTATAGCGTACTTCATTGAATATACGCTTGATTAATTCATGGCAGATCGTGCTAATTTCTAATATCTTGTGTGTTGTTGTAGATACCTTATTTCAATTAAAGGTTAGTATATTTGGTTGGTCTTGATCAGCAGATTAGCGAGGATAAAACTACTCATACGTGCAAAAGAAAAATCCACTTCGATAGCTATGACCTAACTACGCTCACAGTAAAATGTTTTCATCAAGTCCGTACAACATGTTATACTCTAACGCCAACTCTGTGCTTCCATTGCTACCAGTGGTGAACCCAGTAAACCTTATTAAGCAACTTCAGGGTTATTTGTTGTATGCGACTCGTATGCTTAGAATCAACTTTTTGAATTATTAGCGATTACATACAGTAATATCAGAAAGTTAATGATCAATAGCATGATATACAGGTGTAGTGTACTGCTAGTAGAAAAATAATATCATAGTGACAACATAACGACCATGAAGTGCTTAGTGAATTCGGTGGTCTAGTTAACAAGCAATACGCAAACAGAAAAGCTAACTGGGATACTTCAGCAACTTTAATTCGTGCCTCTGTACAAATGTCAATTGCTTTCACAGACACATATTCATTACTGTATAAACGTTGTTAAAGTTTTGAAATTTCAACTGAAAGATTTAAGATCACTGATGATGGGATATGACGGGATTTGAAAGTATGATCAGGAAGTATACATTTTAATGGACTAAACGGTTGTCAACATGCTCCGTGTAAAATTGTATTATCTGCACAGACCTTTAGTTAAAGAAAGCTTACTCTACTGTATATCGTCAAGATTAATTTGCTCCTGCAGGGTATCTTAAAGTGCGAGTTTGATAAATTCTTTCTCAGTGTTCGTTTGTCTTGCAATACTGTAGTGGTGTTATAGTTACTATTGAAGTATTAGAGTATATTGTATGCTTACAAGTTATATTATACAGTACCATAGTAGTCTTCGATATACAGGAGCACAGCTAAATATCTGTCTGTAATGTATTTCTCTCTTCCGACAGTAATGACTGGACTAGTATGCAGTATGCACAAATCTCTATGACAACAATATGTATACTGTATGCCTTAATAATGGAATCCTATTTGTAAATCAAATTCAGTACTTTTTCTCTTGATTCTTTACAAAGTTTACGACAAAACAACTCGAGCGTTTTGCAAAAAAATGCGAAAAAGACGAAGTAGTCCAGAAGAATAAAGTCAGAAAGGTATCTGAGTGAGCAACATCATGTTTTAATTTAATTTTAAAGTAGCTATTCTACTGTACACTAGTAGAAAATGCAATGAACGAGTAGCCCAAAAATGAGCTAGGATTCTGGAAATGGATTACCTTAGATTTAAAAATGAAGAATATTCCTAGCCTAATGTAAATAACGGTTGTTGCAGTTATTATAATTCATTATGCAGTTAACGTATCATAGATGTGTAGTTATAACTTATTCATGCTAAATAAGTAACCTAAGCACATATTTTTTCAACCAAAATTAAAGTTGTAACTTTTAAGAATACAGTAACATGACGGGTATTAATTGCTTCAGGCACTGACTCAAGGGAACGTTGAAGGTGCTCGCATTTATGCTGAGAATGCTATAAGAAAGAAGAATGAAGGTTTAAATTATCTAAGAATGGCTTCGCGCGTTGATGCTGTTGCTAGTAAAGTCCAAACGGCAGTTTCTATGAAACAGGTATGATTAATCCTATAAGCACTTCTAAGAATTTCGTCTTAGAAGTTCCTGAATCCAGACTGATCACTTGATAATCTGTCAAGTAAGTTCTGAGTATTACGTTCTCATATGATTCCATTAAGGTTACTCGTAATATGAGTGGAGTTGTAAAAGGCCTCGATAAAGCTATGCAAACCATGGATCTTCAAAAGGTAGCAACATCGTAATTGTTTTAAATTATAATCTATTCTTGATACATGCCTATTTTATGTATTCATATCTCACCTATATTTATTGACATAAATATTGCCATAATTAATAAAATTATATCTACAAACATAACATACGTCATGCAATTAAGACATCTCGCCGTTATAATATATACGTGTAAACTTCAACATATAGGTTACAGCTACAATGGAAAAATTCGAGAAAGTATTTGAAAACCTCGATGTTCACACCCAGGTTAGTAAGATATTAAATAGACAGTAAGGATTTACCAATAACATTGCAATGATATTATACCGATAAATTGATAGCGAATAAAAGTACGATTGCAACTTCTAAAAAAATATTTAATGTAAAATACGAGTGTAAACTCAATAGATAGAGCGCAATACCCTTCTGTCTCTCTTTATCCTCATTGAAATGTAAGTTGTTTTATTAAAATATTTTTTGCCATCATATAGACCATGGAGGATTCAATGGGAAATGCTACAACTTTAACAACTCCAACTGATCAGGTACTATCCCTTATAGACTATCTATAAAACTTTGTTTGCCTGAAAAATGCTATCTCAAGCCCCAATTTATAAATTATATTTCTCTAGCTATGAATTCATATGGATTGCTATACTTCTTGATATATAACAGGTTGATACATTAATCCAGCAAGTTGCCGAAGAAAATGGCTTGGAAGTTATGTCGCAATTAGAAAATGCACGCCCTAGTACTGACTCGATTTCAGCGGGCAGTTTGTCCAATAAAGAAGGAGATGCTCTTTCTCGAAGGTAATTTTTCGGCCAAGATATCTTTATATACATTATATTCAATTGACTTAAAAAATAAAATTGTGTTTTTCCCCGTAATTGTTATTAGGCTTGCGCAGTTACGTAACTGACGAATTGCCAAGTAGGTCGCTTAACAACGGCAAGACGTCTGGGATACCTTATCATTCATAGATTTGAACGTCAGCCGAATAATTAAAAACGGGCTATTTTTAGGTGCTATTATTGTCGTTTCTAATTTACAACTCAGTCATGTGTATATCATCTCTATTTCTGCCTAGTAGAATCAAAACATAGTTGACTAAGTTTCATCTGTTTTGCTGTAGCTACGAATTTAGTAAGCTTTAACAGAATGTATATATATATATATATATATTATATAGTATAATCGAGATAACTTGATGTTTAGACATATGCAAACACGATTTGGGTATCATTTATAAGAAAACGTATTCGTATATGTTCATATCTTGTATATGATTATATTCCATAAAAGTTTAAAAATATCTTTGGGACTGCTAATGTATAAAGCGCCAAGTGGTAATGGATGCACACTACTAAATAAAATAAACTTCTTGACGATAAGATTGTATTGCTTAATTTGATCAAATATCTTAGCTGATTTCTATTGATATTAACAACCGCAAGGGTTGCCGCATTTTAAGTAACTCCTCCATAATGCCACCAATTCCTCTGGTGAGTGTTCAGGGGAAGTATACATATTTTTATTGCAGGTAGAGAAACATTCCCAATTTCCATCCTAGGATTTACAAAAAATAGGACAATACGTATATCATTCTAGTAAACTTTACGTATATGAAGTGGTCGGAAATTTTTATGACTACGTATTAAATCATAATATTTATTACAAAGTCTTCTTAGTTAGTGTCAATATAAATAGATCAGTGATTGTTACTTTAATCAGCAACGGAGCAAGAGCAGTCATCCAAATTCCCATGGACACATCTTCTCCCTAATAAGAAGCATAATGCATTTAGAAATTTCAATATTAAATTTTATAGATTATCTTTCTGTGTGGCTGAAATGGCCAGGATAAATATAAGCATACACATAGCTCAGTCTGTAGGTCTGTACAACAAAGGAACTAGTCTTACGTAACTAAAATTGAATGATAAGACCTGATAGGGTTTCAACCATTGTCTGTTGTTTGCCAACCATTTGATGATATCAGCTGTTAAAATGCTACCACTACCACATGCGAATGCTGGATAAATCGGACAGTTGTAGTCCAATTCGCTCCATTTCCCAAATCGCTCTACTGGCCAGTTCGAACGAAAACTAATTTAATTGAGACAAACAATGACACTCATAACCTAAGATACTTCTAGGGTTATACTATATAAGTAATACAACACTAAAACCAACTATAATGCAAACACTTACTTGCCCCACCAAAACTTACGCTTCTCCAGTAGATCAAGACTATGTATAGCCTGAAAATCATCAAGTACAGAAGCATTACGAGCAATAATGGCACGTTACTGCTCCACTATTATTTTTAAAAAGCTACAACTCTAGATTGGAGGTAATAGGATTACAGTACCTCTACAATGGAGTTGATATTTACAAAACAGTCATCATCTACTTTCATGAATAACTGAAATTCGAGATTTTTCATTAACCTATAGTTAGCGAGTATAGAACATCATAATTATTAAATAACTACTAATTGTTATTTTATATGAAGTCTGTTAATATTATACTATTTCGTAATTTTTGCATACCAATCATAGAAAAGGAGCATTTTACTTGCTAAAGTTCGATAAACGTCCATGTGAGGCACAAGAACAATATCATCATATGCAACCATTTCCTGATGTAGAGCTTCCCGTTCCTCATTTAACAACTCTTTATACTCATCTTCTGTATAATTCGCTGTTATAGTAGCTTCTTCTATTTAAATAAATTCTCTCAGTCTAACATCATTGATTAATGATTAAAATTTTCTCATTCCACCTTTAATTTTGTATTGAAAAGATAAGCCGATGTCTACTAATCTTCTCTTCAACATAAATTCTTCTTCGCGAGGTATTCCATTCGTGTCATGATTATATAATTTCAGCTATCATGAAATTGGGATTAAAACATGAAGTTTAATAAAAATTTAAAATTTATAATCTCTTCATCTCGAAATCCAGATAGCATACGAAACCTCGAAAATTTTAATAGCATTTTCTCCTTCATCTAGTATCCAATCGGAGCGCTTTCTTGAAATAGCTACATTAGTAATATTTTCAGCAAAGACACACCCAATGAATCCCTGTATAATTTAGACCATCACTATTATTTTAATGTGGTTATTGATTGCATGACTGTTACTACAAAAGCGTTACAGGTAGAGTAACCGCATAAACGACCTACTTTGGGTAACAAATAATAACCAATGTCACTGTAACGAAAGTTATGGAAGACTCTACCAGGATTATTATGGTTAAAAGTGGTATGAGCAACGGTTTGCTATAGCAAGAAGTTTTAAAATTTGGCTCTTTAATTAAAGTCATGTGACTAACAAATATCTTCAAAATAATAACATCAACTGGTAAAGTAATTTTCAGTACCTGACTAATTTCATCATATAAGTACAATTTTGTGCCTTTATTTCGATTTTCTTTGAAGTTGATCATACCCAGTGAACTAATAACAATAGGATGGTAAACTGTAAAACGGATCCCTAACGAAAAATAATGATTCGTATCCTCATCTCTAGAATATTCAAAGTTGGATTTCAGTTGGACAACGGAATGAACATCTGAAGAATCTTAAATCATAATACATATAGTTAGCAATTACGCTTTATAAATAAATTTATGTTGTACTCGCTTACTATACAATATGTAATGATAAAATCTATGAAATTCACCACGAAATAGAAATAACATAACAAAACATAATTCCTGTAACAGCTAATTCCCTGTACGTTTTATATTTCACAATAAATATAGGACATTATACATAACAAACTAATCAATTACATGCAATAATATTTACAACAGGTGCTGTATCATAAAATCAGCTAATCAATTAATAAAATAGTACTTATTTATTCTTTCATAATACTATACAGCAGGGCTATAGCAGATTAAATTTACTAGACATTATATATAACTACGATTATTATTACTTAATTTTACAATTTAAAACGCACTTCTTATGATCTTTTTTTGACATGTATATTGATCTTCCCGCCATACCGGAGGAATCATACATGGAGAATCGCCGACAATGAACTTTACTAATATTTTAAATTTTCTGTATCAAAAATTAAATGAATAATCCGTGAATTAATTATTATCAACCTGATCTACGAATATACTAATGCAAGAAATACAAAGACAATAGTAATAATAAATAACCTTGATATCTTAAAATATAGTTCACTATTGACAGTATTAATTTCATGAAAACTATATATAACGAGCAATACAGTACTATTCATTCAATCTGCATCTGAAGTATGAGTGTAACCTAGCAATAAAATTATGCCGTATTCCCTAAATTTACTAAGTACAACATATTGATTGATTGATTAATTATATTACCTATCTTTCGTCATGAAAGCATCTCGACGAAACTAATCACTAATATCAAAACTTTAACCGTAGTAAAGTCTATAAGAGTATGATTAAATATGAAAATTTGGCTAGATTTGCAAAAATTCAACTCAGGTATAACAGAGAATTAATTATTCAATGCTATACGTCGTTGGAATCTGTAAATCAGCATGCGTATTCACCTGGTTATTAACTGCTGATTTGTCATCAAAGCACCAAGCCATGTATCTCGAATAGCCTGCCTTAATTTTGAATTATTACGGGCGGACACTATGCCAATAACCATATCATACGATCCTTCATTGAGCATGTTTTTGAAATGAGAAAAGAAAACTGAGATACGATAGAAAAATAGAATGCACTCATATTATAATTGCAATCTGTGAACGCGTAGAACTAACTTATCTCTAAGCTGATCATAATAACGTAAAACATCAGAAAACTGGCATACTATACTACCAATTAGTATTAGGAAGATATTACAGCAGGCTACATAAACAAATTTGCATATTAGCTCAAGGTCTTACGTAAATCGTCATTGCTAGCAATGAAATTGTAACAAAATGGCCATGCAAGTAACCCTATGATACAAAATAGTAATAACATAGGTAAAGAGCAGTCAAGGAATATCGGTAAAGGATTTCTTCCATTAATTGCCATTGCTCCTAGGAGGATCCTTCCATTATTTAGTCCTTTATGCTTCAAAGCATAACATTTAGCAACTGAGCAAGCATAATTTGCTCGAGAACTACAGCTAGTAGCGCAGTACAGTACAGTGTACTCTAGTGTTGTCCTGATTTCCTGCTCTGCAATGAAGTTCAATCAGTGCAATACAGAACAGCATACAGTACTATAAGTACTATACAATATACTGTACAGTACAGTACTACTGTACTGTATATAGTAGTGTACATACTGTATAGTGTACATTTACAGTTACAGTTGGTAGTCCCTGAGTAAAGTCTTGGATGACTAGAAACCCAGCAATCTAGGCTAGCAATCTAGTAGTCCTTGAGTAAAGTAGAACTTTTCACGCAACATCTGCCATGTAAATGTGCTGTACGTAGGTATACAATGTCAGTTGTACAGCTCTGCAGACACAGAAGTCATTTATTTATTAATAAGATCCCTACTATATAGTATGTATCCTTAACTAGACTAAATAATTTGTAGTCCACTACAGCACATAATCATTCTACAATACAGTCCAGGGTACTGCATTGTCGCTAGTCTATGCAGTTTATCTGCAACACCGTCTGGTATAGCACTTCGACCTCATTTGAAGATCATGTTTTATTTGGATGAATAGATTTTCTTTGCATGCAGATATGGTGGATGTAAAATAACAAACCTTGAGCATCGAAATCTATTCTCGTCTTTATATACTGTAAGCAGTTTATTGTTTTAATTTAAGATACTAACTGTAAATAGGCTATTATACTGGATACTATGCTATCGACAGTATAGTATGCATGCATAACATGAGCATATCTGCATTAAAAAAATTAATTATATGCATTGATTGTGACTTCATGATATTTCCCGTCACACTTTTCACACCTGTAGTATTGCTCTCTTATATTATTATAATTAGTAAACCATAAAGATTAAAAGTGCTTTCCTAACCAATCTCGATACACAAGAAATTGCATGACTAATCGTCAAAATCTTTTTATTTTTTATAATAGACTATTCAATAGAGCACTGTCACAATATGAAAGGGAACAGAATTGTATCAAAACAAATTGATATACAAAACCTATAAGTGATGTTTAGCTACTTTATCCGACAGTACCGTGGTATTCTAGATAACTTATGCGATTTAAGAGGGCATACAGGCATACACCAACTAAATACACGCTTCTTCAACATATCTCACAGTATAAATTATAAACTACCTTAAAAGCTACTGTTATAACAGCACATTTTTCGCTATGCTTCATTTATATCTGACAAAATTCACATTCATGGTCATAGCAATACTTTTGATAATACTTAAGTTTGTAATTCACATTGCCCGATAATTGATCTTCATTTCAACGATGCTCTTTATCTTAGCGATACCTTACCATAACCTATGACGCAGAAGGCTTCAATGGTGTATTAGCATTCGCTGCTTGTGGAAAGGTCGTATGATAGCTCGCCAATGATAAAAATTGTGCTGTGATCATGTTACCTATGAAAGAAACACTCCTAACTTAGTTGCGAGTCACATAGTAATTCCATTTATTACTTAATCGAACAATAGTACTAAAAGGGTAGCGATTATACCTGCAAACCATCTCCCATTTAGAGACTTAACCGCCCTAGCAGCAACATCAATCGTTTGACACTTTACGTACACAATACCTTTCTACGAATGACAAAAGAATTACACACGTAGGGTTAGGCATGGTAAATAATAAGCTCAAGTGAAACTAGGAAGCAACAGAAGTCTTACAGGGGAAGTTTTATCTACATATACATGGTAAACATTTCCATGCTTGTTGCACTCTTCAATGATATCGTCACGGATATCTAAATCCCAATCCTGATCCGTTTCTCTGTAGTAAACAACATCTCTAAACATAAATTCAAGATTTTCAAAAAAGTGACGGCAAAAGCGTACTTACTTAGCTGGGTCAAACATATTCGATATTAAGAAACAAGGCGAAGCTTGCACCGTATTAGCTGCCGGAATTAGACCAGTAGCAGGAAGAGTTGGTCCAGGCACAGGCACAGGCACCGGCACAGACACCGGCACAGTAGCTGAGGAAGTATTGCTTAATGCGGTAGGTGGGTTTAAATCTTTAAGCAGATATAAAATGCATTAAAAATTGTTTGCAAGACAAAGAAGTTAATGTTAAAAACTTTTAATAAAAGGAGATATGATGCAGTACGGAATTAAACTCTAATTATCAAACTTACTGGCATTATGTGTCTGAGATAATTTAGCCATCAACGCAACACGTGATAACGAATTCATTTCGATTCCACCTCTTTCGGTGTCATCATCATCTAGTGCAGACATTGCTGACAAATCAGCACTTCTATCGGTTACGGTGCCAACTTTAATTGGTCTACCTGCCACCTCCAGACCGTTGAGTTGCTCAAGAGCTCTTCTAGCACTATCAGGTTCTTTGTACTGTATATTATCATGAATCAATAAAACATGATTAAAATTTACTCCTGCATCAGTTGCTTAAACTCAGACACATTAACGTATAACTTGAAAAGTTAGGCTTACATTAGAGAAACTGACTAACAAAATAGATCATCAATATCACGAACTGGTACAATAGTTTATACTACCTGAATGAATCCATATCCCTTTGAAACATTGGTATCACTATCTCTTATTATGTTTACGTTTTCAACCTATCGTTTTTTAACATAGAAACGGTAACTTCCGATCATGCAAATGTCATTAAGAATACAGCGATATATTGACATAATTCGTATGCAGCATCATATTACCAATCCGAACGGTTCAAAAATAGCACGCAGCATATCTTCGTTAATGTTGTAATGTAACGACCCGATATATAAACGCGTTGGTCCTTGCTGTGCTTTCTGCTGAGCTTGCAGTGCAGCAATCCTATAAGCAAGTTTTATCTGAATTATACCATGGATAATATAGTTAACACGTGAAATTATCAAGACTCACTTATTCTTCTCTGACTGAGTACGTTGGATCATTATTGGAATTCCTTCAACTTTCGTACCATTTAACTTCAGTGCTTTATCGACAGAATCTACTAGACGAAATTCAACATAAGCAATGCCTTTGGACCGACGGGAATTACGATCAGCAATAACCCGTATATCTCGCATCTGAAACGTTAAAATGTTAAGATCGTTAATTTCGATAAATGATACAATGTCAAATACAGAACGAAAGCTGCATGCTGCGAGTTAAAACTGTATTTTCGACACGAAATAGCAAACGGATATAAGATCTCTTCTGACTTTCATTTACTCTACATCTTAATAACTTTAATTTGGGACAATTAAATCATATGGTACCTCCCCAACAGGAGAAAATAATTCTTCCAGTTGTCTTCTACCAGTTCTACCAGCTAACTGCATGCAAAATACTGTCCTCTGATCCCTTTCATCTGGAGTTAGCTGAGGTGAAGCTGCACGTGGAGGCCTAAATAAATCAATGCGAATTGAATCTTATGTATAACTTTATCATCCATTTTAGGGTTTGTAGTTACATTAATACCAATTAGCAAAATTTAGAGGTTAACCATTTTGCATCGTTACCTTTCCGCAGGTTGAGCTGGACTCTTACTTTTACTACGACTCTTGCGTCTTCCTCCATGCTTACTTTCCTTATCTCTACTCCTACTTCTTCTACGATGACGATCGTGGCTTCGGCTTCTACTCCTCCTATCATTTTAAGTTGAATTAACATATAGTGTGATCAACGGTGCAGTAAATGTAATATAATAACGCTAACAATCTTAAGCTTTTGACAGTCTATCCAGTTATTCAAAAGTCGCAATCTGGAAAAAAATTACAACATTTTTTCATCACTGTACCGATGCCTATGTTTTGGAGACCGACGGCGAGGGGATCGACGACGGCGAGGCGATCGACTACGACGGCGTGGCGATCGACTACGACGGCGTGGAGATCGACTACGACGACGTGGAGATCGACTACGACGACGTGGAGATCGACTACGTCGTCGAGGACTGCTACTGCGGCTTCTACTCTTTTTTCTTTTCTTGCTTTTACTATATTTTATCATATTAAGCAGTATTATATAAAAATTCATAGTTTAGTATAATCAATGTCAAGTAAAAGTCCATAGGGATTTACAATTGTGACTAAAATTTTCATTTGAACTATGGCGGACGATATTTACCTCTTGCGATCTCCACTAGCGTCGTTCTTTTCTTGGTCCTTGTCTTTATCTTCTTCTATGGGCTTCACTTCATTCTATAATTAAGGATTTGAAATATTTTTCAAGAAAAAAAAATTGGTAATTTATCAGCATGATGCAGCTAAGTATTCGGGTAGCTTCCTTGCTTTCATCGACTGACAACAATCGATTACTCAATCTCTCGATCTATCAATCGAACACCAATGGTTACGTATTGACAGCAGCAGGCCTAGAAGCAGACAACATAACGCATACGGTCGAGGCATATCGCAATACCAACTATTATTTAAAGTAGAATAAATGCAACGGAAGCGAATTATCTGAACAAAACAAATATACTGTATCAAAGTCTTAACACAATACGAATCCCGAATACAAATAACAACGACGCATAGCAATGTTAATGCGAATTCTCTCATGACGCACAATCGATGAGTGATAGTATCATAAGTGCCCAGGTAATTGTTAATTTAGACGAAATGGTAAACCTACAGAAATGTACTACTACAACGAGTACAATTTAAATATCAGCAGTGACGCAAAGTGAGACGATTTCTCCCAAACTGTTCTCTACCTCAATATAACTTCAAGCTGTAAGCACGTTGTAAAAGTCAATAAGCTCTAGAAAAGAGAATGCATACAACTGTCAGCATCATAGTTATTTGTGGACAGACCCACACCAATTCTTGTATAAGCACGCATAGTTTTTCATATCCTTTTCTCAGGAATAATATAACGAACTGATCTTTATAACAGATAATGATGCAGGTTGCTAGATTTCCACGTACGTACTGAATAGTCAATTTATTATAACAATCCATGTATATTGTACTGTATCGCAAGCTATATCGATATCATGAAACAATTTTGAGTCCTACACACTCAGTATTTATAGAAAACTAGTCTTCATTAAAGAAATAAAATATAATACTTGCCAATACTGTCTGTATACTTGTTCAACAACGAAGGAGTTACAATATACCAAGTGCATTACTAGTTACGATTACACGTTTTACGAGTATGTTGACTTGTAATTTCTCAAGGACATGAAAATTACTTGATTCCATCAAGTTATATAGAACACAAAGTACAGTACTATACAACTACATTCTACATTATAACGGAACAGAACAGCAGTTTTAGCTAATCATCCGGCTTAATTCAGATTTGAATAGAAATAAGCGTCATTACACAGTTATTAGCCATAGGCTATATTGAAACTACAGTACCGTATCCGCATAGACATGGCTAAGCAGTGGCGTGCTTTTATCATATGCAGTAAAAACGTCCAATTTTTATATGCGAATTTAGCATCTTATGCTGATTTACGTACTATTGTACAGTACATGCATACAATAGTATGCAATCTTTCTACGTATATATCATAAGTACTGCAAAGAGCAGGGATCGTAATCACTTTTATCCCTCTTGCATATTGAAGGACTATTGCACTATTATAGTACAATCTATATATATACATATACAGTACTACTACATCGATGCAGAAGACTTTGAGGTTTCCATTGCACCAAAGCGTATATTCTACTTGAAGTTGTTTAGTAGTGCTATAAACTTTACTACTGTACTATCTGCAAAATACTCAAGCGTCTCGATCCATTCTCAGTAAGTTATTTTTACTATCAGCATGTTATAATCGAAACCCGTTACCTCAGTCTTCTTATAAGGTGCTTCGATCAATTCATCGACATTAATATCATCAGCCATATTTTGTATTATTTAGTCACCAAATATAGCAAGATTTCACCTGTAAAGGTTACGCACCTAAATCACAAAATGAAATTTTCTTTCTTAAACAATAATAGAATAATTCAGAATCGTTAAAAGTCGACTAGTTGGATTAAACTTTATATCTAAGCATTCACTACAGCTCTGTAGTCTACGTCCAGTCAATGTATCAAGATGACACGATGGTACAGTATTGTAGTGTGGAAAAGGACATGCAAGCACAATAGTTTGCAAATAGTTGGAAGTATTTGAATTACTACCATACTGAGCGTATTCTATCAACTTTTGCCTATCATAGAATCTTAATACTTACCCGCAAAAGAACGTTTCAGAAAAGCAATGATGAAGAACGGCGCGATAAACGATTGCCAGGGAACGTCCGAAGAAAATGGCAGCGAGAAAAGTGAACTCGTCGCACTTTTTACTTCCAAGCAGCCAACAATGAGTTATGCCAGTATTGGACTAGCAGTGTAGCATGAAACATTACAGTCTAGTGAGTGTGTGCACGTGCCACAATGAGCATGCACACTTGTGCCGTCGAATACAGTACTTGCTAGTATTCTACTCTACAGTACACTGTATTGTAGTACTGTAGGTTTTTGCCCTTTTGTGAATAACTCAGGGCAAAAAAATCATTGACAATGAAGCAAATGGCCTCAAAATCATCTTTAATCTATGAACTACCAAGTCAACATTGCTACTAGAGGCAGGCAAGGACCTCTCAACTTTTTTTTTTGGGGGGGGGGAAATTTATCCCAAGTACAGAGTGCAGGATTGGTGATGTTGATGGGAACAATCTACACTGTTTCTTTAGTCATCAATTTCTTCATGAGTTAGAGTACAGCAAAAAGTGGAGTACAAAATCGAGAAGCCCGTGATAGAGGACACAGTTTACTATTGACCTCTGTGAGGTTTCAGGTTTCAGTGGTTAAAAAACTTCCAGTAGTGTACAGTGCAGTACGTTGTACTGTACCGTACAGACTGTCTGTGATGTTGATGGGAACCATCTACACTGTTTCTCTAGTCATCAATTTCTTCATTAATTAGAGTATAGCAAAAAGTTAAGTACAAAATCGAGAAACCCCTGATAGGGGGGACAGTTTACTGTCGACTTGTTGTAAGGTTTCAAATTTCAGTGGTAAAAAAAACTTCCAGTAGTGTACAGTACAGTACTGTAGTCTCTACAGTACTGTACACTGTAATGGTCCGTAGTACTGTACTGGTTAGAAAGAATCAAATTCCCGCCAAAAACTTAGCCTGCTCTAAATTACCGTACTCCGCCAGATTTTTCTGCTTGCTTGTGTACGGTACTGTACAGTACAACCGACTGACTGAAACACGAATAAGAATTAATAATAAATGAACCAGCAAGTAGACGCGTATACTGTACAGTAGAATGTAATACTAGCTAAGCTGTCAAGAAAATCGATTTCAAAATAAATCGCAACTATGGAGGTTGGTACACTGAGAAAACAGCTTAAAGACTGGGAAAGGCAATTTTATAAAGAGAAAGGCAAGAAACCATCAAAGGTTGTTCTCGTAATATCGATCTCCTATTTAGTCCATCATTTTGTCTTACTGTAGATCTATACATTAATTCTTATTGGTTACTGTTACAGTACTGTATGATACGAGCAGCCAGCTTGTTATGTGTAGAATCATTTAGCTCTTGACTAACCTGAAATTACGCCCAAAGATGTAGATAACACAACTTTGAGTCTCTGACAGATCTTTTAGACCTGTCAATTTAATACCACTCTTGATTTTAAATAACGTTGTAAACTTTGTAATGATAATGCATGCATTAATATCAGTAGTCCTATGCGGAATACGCCTAATTTATGAATGAATCAAATCCAAGTAGCTTTCGTATGAGGCATACGGACGTACACTAATCGCTGATTGTTATTATACGTTTTATATTACTAATTCGTGGCTCTATCCTACTCCTTTCTCTAGGCTGATATTGATAATTGCGATTCAATTAAAGGTATGAATATTATTAAATCATGACACGTAGCACTACTTGTATAATGATTATTCCATTATCACTGCCCATATAGCTTTTTGGGGAAATAGCAAAATACAGTATTATCCAACGATCAAATAAGCTGTAAAAATTGGGTCTATGACAAGCTAACTTGCTTTCAAATATAGATAATATATAATCACAAAAATGATTACATCCTAAAGTATCGACCCTATAAATAAAATATTTCAAAGTCTGTTTATAGATCATTTACACGAGTACATCCGCGTATAAACACGCGTATACTTGGTTGGGCTTGAGCACATCCGTAGATGTAGCATGTAAAAACTTGATAAACAATCACTTAATCTGATCCTTTATTCCACGCCCTATAAGAGTTATCAAGCATAGGATTTGAGGTTAATGCAAAAACTAAAAAATTAGTCCAGTCGCCCTATTATTACCATCATCTCCACGAAAAACGATATAACATTTATCATACTAAAAATTCAATAATATTGAAATAACAGACTAAAAAATTAATTTCTATAATACAATCAAAAAAAATAAATGCAACATTAGACACTTATCATATCCAATAGAAATTGCATATAACTTCTATTTTGCTCCTTAGATTTTTATATACGTTATAATAAGGCTAAAGAAATTGCTGCAAGACATCAGCACCTATACAACCAACAGGCAAGCTTAAATTACTGATCATCATAAATTCACATATATGGCGTAGATCAACTGCAAGCGATAATATTGCGATACTACAATATAGCACTATACTATTCTTAATGCCACGTTGCGAATAAGCTAAGAGTTAAATCGTGCGAATTCTTATAATTTTATCGATTGAGTTAATCATTATTCTACATTGTGCTTACAATTTTTGACTTACTTCTTAGCTGTCTGGCTTGGAGACGAATACCGATATCAAATGCAAAGGATTCAAGATCGTATCTGCTGCTCCTAAAAGGTTACTAACTACGTAATAAAGCTATCTACGACAAGCTTGACACTGATTGTATCCTAAAGTCTAGAGTTTTTTACCGATCTGGAGGAATCTTGCTACTAAAATTTAGCAGTAATTGCAAATTTTTATTCGTTCGTGTGATACGAATATTTGTATTATCTATTATAGTACACCATCTGCAGTTACTAAAAGATTTCTGAGCCTTAGTCAACGTAACCCTAAAGCATCTTCTTTCGAGCAACATTCTACTTGGCCCGATATCGTTATTCCACCATGGGCAATGAGTACAGCAGAAAATAACTCAAAAGATCTCCATTCCGATTCGACAAAAACGCTGGACATACCTGCTATATCACCACCACCACCACAGGTTTTAAGCAAGTTTTAGAATTCTTCGCTGCATTCTGCGAATAATTACCATTGTCCAACACTCAGCAACGATTTCTTGTAAAAAAATAATCAAATGCATACAATTAGGGGTCTCTTACGATACAGAAAGGTGATTGGAATAATGGCAAGTTAGCAGAAACTAATGATCGTGAAGTCCCTTGCGATTCGAACAAAAGATCTATATCAGATAGTACTTTTAATGCTACGCAAGAGTGAGTTACTACTAAATGATAAACCTCCTTTCAGGAAATACATAGCCTCATAATCTACTGTAACTACTGTATTGTTATGGCATATGATGTCAATACAGTTATGATTCTGTACATATATTTATATTTAGAAAAGAAACCACTACTAAAATTAAAAAGATGAAAACTCCTAAATATCCAGAAAGTACCTCTAGGTAAAGCTTTAATTCATAACTAAATATTTGAAGCACAATTCTAGTACCGATGATGTTACGCTACCATTGCATTGCCGAAGTATTACGTCTATTCCAAACCGAACTTGTTAAATTTCATATCTATGGATAGGATGTATGAATGTCCGAATTTATAATTTTGATATTTTTATCTGAAGGATACCTGACGCGAATTATGTACGACTAAATATGAAATCTCGTTCTTACAAACCTCGAGGTCGCAAAATGACCGGTGCTCAATATAAAAGGAAAATGTGGAAAAAAAATTCTAAATTTTCCAACAAAGAAAATACTGGACTGAAAATTAAAAGGCACTATTTGAACCGATTTTATACAGTAGATTAGGAGGACAGCAGTACCATAATTATGTTACTTAATTAGATGTTTATAAGATTATTTCATAAAACAGTAAATACTGTCGAATTAAACTGTTTATGTGAGTCGTATAGATAAATTCTATCTTATCATAATATAGAAAATTTGGTGGCTACCAAAGCTATTCCAGAAAAAATAATGAAAAGACTATTAGTAAATCGAAAATCTTAGAATATCCCTCAATTGTAGAAGATGATCTAATATCAAATAATAATATCGATTCAGAAAACTCGGTTAAAGCAGAAAAAGAGGAGAACAGCCGAGAATCGGAGTAATAGACTTATTCGCTCTCTATTTAGATCTGCAGTACTACAGTTAGTTATGTAGTATAAGACTGTACACTGTAGCGATACAACATATTTTCAAATTATGACTTAAAAAGTTATTACAAATGTAGCCATTGATGATAAACATCCTTTCAGATTAAATGATATTGTATGCTACCCTGGACTGCCCCGACCGATGCATATTCCTTCAACATCTAGAGAGTCTTTAAAACCTTACTGTACCGTAGTAGAGGACATGGATAAGATCATAGATTCTAGCCTAAAAGAATTTGGATACTGTGCGTTCAAGACCGGACAAAGAAAAGTGATAAGTCGGATACTCTGTGGTACGAAATTCGACTTTTTATCAATAAAACTAAATTTGCTAATACTAAGAAGAATCTAACCGTATCGTGCACTACTGTACCGCTTCTTGCATTTTAATACGTACCATATTTTCATATTTTTACAATACAGGGATGTCGACCCTTGCTATTCTTCCAACCGGTGGAGGAAAGTCCTTGTGTTACCAGCTGCCCGCCCGTTTGTACGCTGCACGATCGGAGTGTATTACTTTGGTAATATCTCCTCTAGTTTCTCTGATGGAAGATCAGGTACTATACCAACAACTTGATAACGGTTAACTCACATCTACAACTTAATTTGGCTTATTCTCTTTATTTTTACGTCATAGTTATATTGATATCATTTCCTCATGTAATAAATTTTTGAAACATGGCAGGTATCAAAATTTCCGCCTTTCCTCAAAGGTGCCTGTTTGCACTCTAACTTGAGTCAATCTCAGCGAAAAAAGGTGTACAAACAATTAGAAGATAAAAAAATCTCTGTGCTTCTCACCTCACCGGAGACATTAGTATCTGCTTTAAATGATGGCGAACGTTTACGAACACTTTTGCCCCCTGTAGCTTTCGCGTGCATTGATGAGATTCACTGTGTATCGGAATGGTCTCACCATTTTCGACCGTGCTATTTATTACTTTGTAAGGTTAGGGTAAATTGTATAGTGATGTGCAAATTATTCCATTGTCAGTGATTTATCATTTAGTAATATTCTAAACATATTTGTACTGCAACACTTAGCTACTTAAAGAACGACTCGGAGTGAAATGCTTATTAGGGCTCACAGCAACAGCGACAGTCCCGACCATAAATTCCGTTTGTGCCCATCTTGGAATAGCGAATTCAGACGATGGAGTTATTCAAGGGATTACTCTACCTGAAAACTTGCACATATCAGTTTCTTGCGATGATCGGAAAGATAATGTAATGTTACCCAATGAATAATGCACCAGCTGGACGAATTCTATGCTAACAAATTATTATTACTAATTATAGGCACTAGTCACTCTCCTGAACGGTAATCGATTTTTATTCAAAAATTCAATCATAATTTATTGCACTCGAAGAGATGAAACTGAGAGAATAGCCCAGCTTATACGCAGTTACCTACTTCGTCAAACATTTGAAGGTATGTCAAATGTTACAGAAGTTACTTATACCCTCTCAAGGTTCTTGATGTTAGTTTTCCTTTATCGAAGATTGTCACAGAGAAGTTGATCTTGAACATGCTGTAGAGTGCTATCATGCTGGAATGTCACCTCGCCAACGAAGATTAGTTCAGAAAAATTTCATGTCTGGTCGAACAAAAATCGTAATTGCCACCGTGGCATTCGGTATGGGCCTTGATAAAGCAGACGTTCGAGGCATCATACATTACAACATGCCGAAAACTTTCGAGACCTTCGTCCAAGAAATAGGACGTGCAGGCAGGGATGGTCTACCGGCTCACTGCCATGTAATTTTAGGAGAAGACGTAAGCGTTGAATCGTTCTAACAGTCATACCTTTGAACTGTTTACAACATTTATTAACTTTTTATATTTTTATTATATCAACGGTCTACTACAGAATCACGATATACGTGAACTAGAGCGTCATGTTTACGCAAATGCTGTTGAACCTTATACTATCAAACGATTTATCAATATGCTATTCCCCTTCTGTGATTGTATCCAAGAGAAAAAATCAGAAGGTAGGGTTGCCTGAAATGATATCAGTCAGTAACAAACTTATCCAAATTAATCGATTTAAATTTGTACCTTCGCTAGTAGGGTCTAGAAGTGAAGATCATGAACCACAAAACTATGCTATTGGACATGAAGTAACGATACCGATCGATAAGGTCACTGTCAATTTGGATATAAGGGAAGAAGTGTTTAAGACTTTACTATGCTACATTGATATGCAATTTCCTGGTCTGATTTCTATCCTAAGTCCGATTCATTCGGTCTGTGAAATCATTTGTTCAGATAGTTACTGGAAGAAGCTTGTCCAAACAGTACCAATAATAACAGCCGCAGTTAAGTTACAAAAAATTAAAAGACTTGATAAAAGATCGCCTTGTTTTACTTTTCCGTACGTTCAAGTCGCTGATAAAATGGGATGGGATTACGAACCCGTACGTCGTGAGCTTTTTAAACTACAGTGGCGTAAATCCAATGATAATACAAATAAATTTATCAAAAGTGGTATTAATGTAACTTTTACAATCAATTCATTTCATGTTCGAGTGCCATGTTGTTTGAGCGATAGCGATAGAGATAACATAGCTTGTCAACTTTTAGACATTGTAAGACAAAAAGAGAAAGATAGTTTACAGAACTTGCAAATAATTTATGCTGCCCTACATAGCGTTGCTTATAAGGATTGTAAAGATTGTATCGATACCGTCGATCCCGTAAAGTCATGTGAACTACAGACACTAATAAGAGAATATTTTAAATCGCAAGAACCAAGTTCATTACTACTATCTAAAAATATTAATACTGAAGCCCATTTACCAACGCTACAAGTTTCTGATTCTACGATAGATGGCTTACGTCGGGATATCTGTTCTTTTTTATCAACGTATAACGAAAAATTTAATGGTTCATCAATTGCACGTATCTTTCATGGCATTGGAAGCCCAGCTTTCCCAGCAGAAGTGTGGTACCGGTGCAAAAGATTTTGGAGGAGGCATATGGATGTCGATTTTAAAACTATAAGTCGGGTCGCTACCCGAGAGCTAGTAAAATGGAGATCCTGTTAAGGTGGTGACGGAAATAGTATTTCTTTGCCCTTAGGCGTGACTCTGACCGTCGTAATTGCCTTGATAGTGCTCGTAATGCAAAGCATTATTGATAATGAACATAGTACAATCAAAGATTGTCACTATTTATTAATTTCTTCATTTTATAGATGTCCTTCAGCGATATTAACTTAATTCATACAACTCTTGGATTTTCACATTTAATTATTCGACACTTTTCAAACAATTGCTTGAAATAAAGATTAAACTTCGTCTATTATGTAAAGTTAATTTGTATTAAAACAGAGCTAAAGTAAAGAGATGAGATGGCTGTCATCAAAGTGTAACATTGCCTAATGTCAAAACGTTGAAGGAAATTGCAATCTCGAACATTGTAAGAAAGAAAGAAAAATTCATGATATAGCATAGATTTTCATGCGACTAAGCATTAGAAGTGAAAAAATATGAGTACCATATACCCTATAATTTCTATTTATACTTTGATCTTAAAATATAACCGCAATATTAAACTATTTTAATGATCGTGGTTGCTATAAACATATACTTAATGAAATAATGCAGGTTGTGTAATTTAATTGTAAAGTTGTAATATTCTACGGTTGCTATTTGCATACGCGTATATAGAACTATCGACATTATATTTACTCAAATATACGTAACTCTAATGGACTACTCAGAAGGATCACTCCTGTCGTATTTTTTGGTATCTGTACAGTTCAGTACTTGTAGTGTAGATTGCAATCGATCAACTTCTTGCTTGAGTTTTCTAATTTCATTCTCTTTCTGTTAAATGAATTCGCCAAAAAATAATAAAACTATTTATTATCAAGTTTAGGTCATTAGATACCTTTGTAAGCAGTCCTACTGAACGATTCAGAAATTTGTCTACTAACCTCTTGAAATGTGTCGTATGATAACATTACACTCGTATTACAACTAGCTTCAGTACTGCAACTTGGTCGACGACGCTTGATTAACTTACAATTTCTCACAATCTAAAAACGATTGAATCATAAATGAGATTTTTTTAAGTGAAGACATAGACTATGCGAGATATGCTTTTAGGCATAATTGTACGGAGTTTCTCAGCATTAAAGTTAGGACACTTACTTTAGGAACGAAAAGAATGCACAGCGAAGAAGTAGTACAATATAAAATTAGTCCTCCAGATATTCCATAGGTGATGCCACTATGTTTTGGCGTCGTTATGTAAACCGCAATGGCCACACCACACAAAAGTATAATGTTATAAATACATATAGCAATTTCTTTTGAATCGTTCATTGAAGTGATCTTGATATTCCTTGTCTCGTATGCCAAGAAAGCACCAAACAAAAGTATAACGGCATTGAGAGATATAGTTGTAACAAACCAATATGTTTTATATTTACAATTGCATTGAAAATAATATCCACAATAACGTGTGCCTCTTTCTGCTATTGGTATCTAATTTATTGATTGATACGAAATCCATTATTAGAAGTTTCAAAGGATATTCATAACAAAAATACATCGTAAAAATAATGATGCATCTGAGATCAATTTCTTACATCTAAAACTTTATAAGCTATCTCTGAATGCAACGGGTCAACTACTGTCCAAGCAGTTAATATACCAGCTTCAATGACCAACAGAATGAAAATGATGGCGTATAAATGGTGGTCTCGAATTGGCTATAGTTGTGTATATTATAATTTGAAGCAGTTATAAAGGAATTCTAGTCTACCTTTTTCAGCTTAAAGAACGAAAAAATTCTAGCAATGCTTACAGCTCGAAGTTTAGTCTTTGCTGTCAACAGCCTGTATACTCGATAAGTCTTGGTGAAGAGTGCACCAGCAGCTAAAGTAAAACCCACGCATATAAACCACGGAGTTAGCTAAGAATTTCAATAGAAAAAGTAAATATTAGAATTGAAGCACCTAAACCAACATTGGTAACTAAAAACTCTGGACAATCCATTTTGATACGAGATTCATTCTAGCAAACCATGCAAAGTTTGGTAATCCAATCTTTTCCATCAATACCCATGACGATAACAGCAATGTATAAAATTATACAACCAAGTAGAACAAGATAATTTAACTTCGGACTTGACATTTTGACATTTCTGTAACAATTGAAATTAAATTATATTGTAAGTTAAGTAAAATTAATTAGACCAAGATTATAAGCTGAGAGATTTTCTTCTAACATTGTAATAGTTGTTGACTAAAATTTATTATTTATTCTCGATGGGATAAAAACTACGACGAACAAATATCAATGTTTATCGTTAGCTATTTATCAAATTTATTAATATTATGATCACTAAATTGTGCTAGTATACGCGTACATAATACTTAAGAACTTAGTAACGTTATATGTGCTTAATTCAATCACATAAATAATTCCATTATTTATTGTTCAGTTGAAAGTTTAAAGACCTTTTAATATTACATCATTGTGCTATAGAGTTAATTTAATGTAGAACTGTACCTTATTACACTAATAACATTAAAAATTTAATAAGCTAGGTAACCAGAGAGCTACAATTGTTATTATATAGAAACTGCTATAATTAGTAACTGATATACTGAGATTGCAAACGTTTTTAAGAAACAAATCTTATGCTGCGGCCTGGGCTGCACGAGTATTCATCAATTTTTAGTTACCTTTCCTGCCTAAATTTGAAATTACACATAATTAATGTCGTGGAGAGTAAAATACCAGTTACCGCTAAGACTGTCATAAAATAAAACTGTATTGGGGAAATTCCAATATTGATGAGGACAAAACGATATTTTGCAACCGGAGTGTGGTCATCTAAATTAGATAAATGAAGATTAGAAAATTTAAGAGTAGTGACTAAAGACAAGGGAAACCAAACTCTATTCTATTCAAAGCGTATTGATCTTATTTTAACTTATAGTAGCAAATGATAAAATGAAGAGCCTTATAATCTCAAGGTAGTTGTTCAGTTAACGGAGAAAAATCATAAAATTACCAGGTATATTAGTTATAGTACTGTATTTCTTCCATATAACATCAAAGAGTACCGTAGAGTAAAGTAAACGAAAAGATCAATAATTTTAAGGTGAATATAGTAGTAGAGAAAAATATAGTTACTACAGTAGAAATACTATTTCATCCCAATATCATCAAATGATAATATAAGACAAACCAAAAGCGTAAGTTAATATAAGATAGTTACTAAATCTGTATGAAAAAATTGAGTGAAGACATTAGGCATCGTATTAATAGTCTTCGGCATGTTACCTGGCCATATCAACGGAGATACTTGGGGACTCTGATAGCTAATTCGGTTAGAATTAGCTAAAATAATGCCGACAATTTGTAATTCTCCACCTACAAGTATGAAGAATAAGAATATTTAATTAGAAATAGCATCGTTATGATAGTGTCACCTACTGTAATAATTTTCTTTAATACCAAACTCATTCCTGACTAAGCTTAATAAAATTCATTGTTGAAAGCTTATTAAAGATACCTTGTAACTGCTTTAAATAGGTCTTACGTGGCTGAACATTTCCAAACTTATCAAACTTAATATAATTCTAAATTGAGGTACCAAAATATCATAATAATATGAATAAAGTTGCACTTTAACATTAATAAGGTTAAAAAATATAAGCTAAGCTGGCTTATTCTTCCATTAAAATATTTAGTTAGTTAGAAAGCACTTTCTTACTGTTACTCCTTCAAACTCGATTAGCCCCATTTGATGTAAAATTATGCCACCCATCTCTGAATCGTTATAACTAAAGTCAGTTAAAGTCTTGTTGTACATTTTTAATTCTTGAATGGAATTATCTAAAGCTAGTGCAACTGCCCACACAGCATCGTAACCAAACCCAGCATAAGGATTTATTCGGCAAGTGTAATTATTAGTTTGAAGTCGCTCTTGGTATCGTCGCCGAAACATTAATGGAGTCTGCATATATTACCATAAAATTATAATTAATATTATATAACCAAAACTTTGATTGCTTTATCAGAAACCAACTTCATATTTAAATCTACTCTAAGGAATGAATATGTAAAGAAATAGCATGAACACAAGAAAGGATAAATCTCTACTAGAAATGAAATAATCAGATATATAATTAAACTCTTAATCTGATGATCTCATTTTATCTACTAGATTGGTAAAAAAATTATGAAATATATACCATGCCCGATACTGTCGATCTATTTAGTACATTGCTCTTTGAATGATCAATGGCAAGGGAATATTGTGATGCTTGTAGTATTTGGTCATAGGTGCAATTTACACCTTGGATGTTGTTAGACTTTATCCAAAATTCTTTAGACAGCCAACTAGGAATAATCCAAGCGTAATCGTATCCATAAATGGCTAACTTAAAAGCCTAATTCAAAGTGTTGGTCGATATGGTTAAAATCAGACCAGTAACAATATAAAGTTTCATTTCGCTATATTAAATCTTTTTTAATGAAAAGTATCATATTCGTTAATTCATTTGCTAAATAAAAGTACTATTTCTTCTATCATTACGTAGATTACCAACGTAAATCCGAATTTAAAACGTTGATCGATATAGGCAAAAATGCAAAGTTATATTCCAATTAAAACTTATTTAAAACTAAAGGTCCTGTGCTGGTAGACAAACTTACATCCTACTTAAAATTTTATCTCTTCTATAAGTATAGATTGCCAATTAAAAAGCTAATTACCATGCTGGTTGGCTGATACAATTAATAATTAAAACAAAGACGGATTAAATTTTATTTTAATTAGAAGTTGCTGTGTTTATGGCTATCTTTATTAGTTAAAATTTCTGTCTCTCGTGCAATCACGCAGATCTGTAACGTAAAAGCCTAATTCAATCGTTTATCATAGAAATTAAAAACTGTAACATATACAAAGTTACAAGTAGATTAATGTCATCTGTTTAAATTAAAATACGCGACCTCTATTTATCCATTTAGCAAATTAAAATTGGTTGTTTTGATAGCAGCAATGATGGATTAACTGAATGACTTACTAATACAGAGATTCTAATGGATATAAATCTTTCCTACCTGGCAAAATACCTTCCATGAATCTTCAACATGGAATAAACCGATAATGATATTTACTTTTGATTCCTTATGATGAGAATAATCTAATTTATACATGAATCAAATGGCTATTCTATGCATTTCTTAAACTTTAATCTGGTTAAGAAAACAATCAAATGATTTAAAACTTTAAGCATTATTTACGATATACCTTAATCCGAGTAACTTCTCGTTCCATAGATGAACCGGCAGCAAAGTCTTCAGCAATAGCAATTTTGATACCAGCTTGAGAGAAGCTCTTCTTTAATGAATTTACCGACTATGATGAATAGTGATAATTAACAAATCGATTTTGTTTATCAACTATGCGGTATTCGTCTTGAAATGACCACAAGGAGAAAAAGATGTAGATCTTGTTATTATTACTTTTAAAGCCGACTTACATGGCTAAAATCGTCACTATTCGCATAAAGAAGGCCAACTTCAGTCCAGTTGAAATGAAGTAATATGGTTACTAATTGTGAACTGAATGAACTCGGATTATAGCAGGTACGAAAAAACGTAGGAAAGAGATTTCTGTCTGATAAACGAGCACCCTCTGCTGAGTAGGATACCTGCGAGAAGAAAATGACAATTATGATGTTAATTAAACACGCAAACTTGAAATAAAGCATTAAATTTACTAATGATGATGAAGTAATTTCTCATTTTTGCTTTTCTTCGTTCTAAGTGAACAGATAGGGAAACATTTCATTCAAGGGTTATCGACTGTTTGATGATATTAATAAAATCTGCTTCGAATATTACTGTAAAGCATTTATTTTTGAGATATTTACTGAACAAAAATGTTGTTGTAACATAGAACATTTTATACTATTTCTTAACGTAGTACTCCCCTCAACGATTTGGTAAAAACAAGATGAAGAATAAAGATCACTATTAACAATATTACGTAGGTTTGATACGCAATAAAGTCAATTAATCAGGTGCAGGAGTGTGTTTAATTATAATCAGAAAATAAAAAGCGCGACACAGTACAGTATTGATCTATTGGCAACTAAATCTTTAAAATGGGTGACGAAATTAGAACTCTCAACAGTTACTATTTGGAGGAATTAGAACCGATCAAAAATGAACAAAGTAAGCCTAGATAGAAACGAAGGATAAAATCTACATTTACGTATGGTATGAATACAGTTACAAGGGATTATTTTCTTTCTGGTATTTAAGCAAGATGGAAAGAGCAAGAGTCTTCTATTAGCGTTATAAGACAAATCGTCAGGTATTATACAGGCAGTAAAATAAAATTGGTTAATTAAGAACGAAATTGAAGACTGCAATACATCACAATATTTATCTACCAGTTTAAACCGCAAAATGAAGGTAAATATCAGCGATAATAAAATTGCAAGTTCCAATATTTCATCTTTCGTAATTTTCTGCCTGATCAAATTGAATGACGTAGTCAACATAGTCTTAGGAAAACTTGGTAATATAAACAGTTTATATAAGAAAACTAAAAATATTACTACATTCAGTGGCATCAGGGCTGATATGATTGCTTCGGGCAAAATTTCATCAATCACCGTGTTGGTAATAAAAATTCGCTGAGACACTAATCCATTTTCAGCAAAGTAGCACTTTCACTAACGGTTTATGAAATTTTCACCCGGTTATTTTACAACTAATTGATAGTAGTCAGAGCATGTGGAATAGTGAATGTATTTTAATTAATATTACAGAATTAATAAAAACTATAGTGATCCGGCCATTATCCAATCGAATCTATTCTAATCTTATAGGAAAAATAAAATCAACTATGGTAATAACGATTGCTAGCTATACAATGATATTTTAATCTTTACAGCCGCAAAATGGTGAAATTTAAGCCGTAAGCATTAAATATCCAAACTACCACTAGAAATTTTTTATCGTCATAACGTTAAGAAATACCAGCCGATATGCAACGAAATAATTCGAGAAAATAATTTTACAGGCTGAATATCTTTAAAGACAAGGTTAGAGCACCGTACGTGATCCTATAATAATAATAATCTGTATCACGGTCACCTATCTTACTTTATTTATCATGTTACCTGCACTAAATTATAAAAATGGGAATTCTCCGCCGTCATTGTGGCTATATTCGTAAATCCAGGCCCCAAGATTGTAACTTTGGTTGGAGGCTTACGAAGAATGTCGTAGTATGCCGATAAACCTACGTGATTCTTGCCCTAAAAAACATAGATGACGTCTGCTTAAATAGAAAGTGAATTAATCTCGACGAATGGCCGTCGTTATTATAATAGAAAGTCTGGTAATTATAATCTCTCCTTAAACGAGCAAAAGCCGTTGGTACAAAATAAATTCCAATGGATTATCTCTATCACTATGCAGTAGATTACCATCAATGTCTCAACGCTATAGTATACTAGCTAAATCTTGTCGCACGGCAAAATCCAGATAGATCAAATTGTATATGGACGACTGCAATATTTTATTTGATTTGAATGACAAAAATAGAATCATAAACGATATCATATTGCATGGACTTTAAAATTTTTCATACGAGTTACCGTAAATTATGAAAAAAATTGAGAACAAAGGGTGTCTGCGGTGCTAGTAAACGCTATCAAGTTTTCAACTTTGTTTCCGTAAAAGAACTCTGAAAAAGTTTTAATTTCGACATTTCCTCAATAGTACCGTATGTCAAACCACAATCACTGTCAGCGAAAATATACATGGCACAAGAAACCAGTTTGTGTAATTCAGTCGTAATGTTCTTCTATGCAGTGGCTTCTACTCGACGAAATGTTTTAAAATAGAGTTGAAAATTCGAGACTGCTTGAAGGAAATACTTTACCTGAGTATCTTTCCATAGTAATTTAAGCTTGTAGCCCGCTAGGATATCCGATCGATTATTTATGTCTTCCAGAGCCATTTCAACGGCAGGTATAACACCACTGGCATCCCAACCAATAGAATGCACAGGAAAGAGTCCTCCAATGTATAAATCTCCTTTATTATGTTGTTCCATATTGAATTCATTTTCGTGCGTATAATGTTCACCATTACCAGGATGAAATATTAAGCCGATGATGAGAAATAACATCAAGTTTAACAATATTTGTTGTATCATCTTGTTCCAAATTAGAAATAATCGGTAGTAACGTTGTCGGGCACAAGTTGATTGAAATTTTTCGCTTTTTCCAATACGGAATTTTTCTCGTCAACAGCAATTTTAACTGGGGACAGTAAGCTGTGATTTGCATCGAATACACAGTACTATGACCAGTAAAAGTACCGTACTGAGTTTTATGACTACATCTCGAAAACAGACTGCAACATTGTTAAAAAGAATTTTTGTTACAATTACTTTATATGGTTAACTACTGAATGAGCTATAATCTTGATGATAATTCTCACCTGCGGCAGCGCTGCATAATAAGTTAACTTATGATTAAAGCGTTACAGAATTTAGGACCTATAAAAGGACAGATTAATTGTTTATGAGGTGATTAATAAATACTAGTTTCTATCTTAGCAGTATAGCTCTGCATGTATATCAAACAGTAACCAGATTGAAAGAATCTTTAATAATTCAAATTATAAATATTACAACACAAATAGCGATATCATTACGAAGTAAAACTATATTTGAAGTATGATTGATTTATGGTTACTAGTAAGCGATTATCACTCGACCAAATTTATAAACCGTGTTGAATAAGTTGAGAACATTCCGATGCAATAGATAATATTATTTACAGTACCGTTAAAAAGGAGTATACGACATCTTGACTCGCTTTATTCACTCACAGTTAATATTTAATGCGACCATATCATAATATTTACTATTTATTAGACTTAAAACACCTGCCCAACGAAAAATCCGTTGTGAAAGTTTTGATTTGATGTTGTAGGATTAAAATTCCATCAATTATAATTATTAAGCTAGAGATAGTATTTTTATAATACGTTTAATCATGCTGGCTGTAAGCTGATTGAAATGAGAAGATAACGTTAAATCGTCAAATTCGACTTGAAATAATTCTGGAAAGTACCGAGGATATAGAGCACTCTATTCTATAAATGCAATGTTTGATCATTTAATAAGTAAAATGCCACAATATGATAAGCAACTAGAACACATATTAACCACTTTCTTTGATTAACTATTTACTAGTATTTCTACTACTCTTATAACGAGAGATTATCAACACCATAACTATGGTATAATATGCTTATCAAATATATTAAATTCTTGAGTTACAGAATATGCTCCACTGAAACATTTAAGATTTAATGCAGCATGATCAAAAATTGGCAAACAATCCTAAATAGAAATATTGATTTTTATTACTTTTATAACCAGCCGGATTTCAAGGTGGAAGTGCAGAATTGTAGCCACAAATCTTGTAAAGGTCTTGAAGAAATAGATATTCTGTAGTAAATATAATCTATTTTCAATCGTCAAACTTTGATGGTCTAATAAGAAGCAATGGAAGTTTGACATACTCTTACATGCATACTGCAAGGGTACCTATCAACTAATTTTTCGAGATGGAATATTTCTGGTACTTTTATACTGCAGTATGAGATTCTTAACTACGATTTTGAGTATAAAATTTACAAAATGCAGTACATTCTTGGAGTCGAACTTCCAAAAGGAAATCTGATTGACAACCAGTATACAAGAAAATCCTTAGATTTATTTTGATTTGCAAGGATGTCTTAACAAACATTACCACGGTAGATGTAAACTGTAGTGCATAAAGGGGAAAATGTCTTTATTTACATGTAGATTCGTTAAAAGAGAAGGACTACAGAAATAACCATAAAGTTAAAATTTAATCTTCGACAATATCTACAATAATCTAGCTAAATCAATCTCCTTGCTTATGATAAAATTGAATTATTTAGAAATTTTACTAAAATTAATTTCAAACTTTCAATTTTGATTGCCAAACGCTACATGGCTGCTAGCAACCTGTACATAAATGACAATCTAAACTGATTGTTATCCATTCAAGCACAATTTCAGATATATATTTTAAACAGAGATGAATGCAAGAACATATAATAGAATTTATAGTTTTGGAAATGCACAGCTATTCTGACTCAACACGATCTTAAATTAAGATTATCAAACCACCCTATGAATTTTTGTAATCATTTCTATAAATAAGCATGTAAAATGGGTCAAAAAAACATCCTTCTATTCAAAATTGTCTTAAACTATCATAGCATAACCACACTCAATTCAAAAGTACACGTATTTTTCGTAAAATAGCATAATTTAAGCTTTTATCATTCCATGGACTGGAATTGCTGCTGTATGTCATTACCGAGTTTACATGAAGATATCTTATACAGCAGTTTGCCGTTTGCCATTGCCTTCCTTGTACCTACATGAATATAAGACAGTTAAAAGCAGCCCTACTTAACACATATTTGAGATAATTGGGATGGTAGTGGCATTATTTCATTCGAAGCTAGTGACGAATAAACTGTTTTAATTTTAAAATAAAACCAGAATGTTCTCACATATTTTTGGGGGGGGGGTGCAGAGAGAAGTTATGAAATTTAATATCACAACGATCAGCATTAATTAATTAAAACGATTTTCAAGTTTGATGTATTTTATTTCGAGGCGATTAGTAAAAAGTACATCCTAAATGCTTCTACTATCGTACGATTCGTGCCTTATTTTCCTCGCACCCTCTTTTATATTCACTATTAGAATATAAATGAAAAAATTTAATTTGTCTACCTGCAAGATAACATTAATTCTGAGTTTCCCATAGCGCTTTCGTATTTTTCGCTAGCCATCCTACTTGAAGCATTTTCATTCATTCTAAATCGAATACTAGAAGGTTTAGCATTGCCCTTCATCTAGGTAAACATAATGTCATATTTATACCAATATTAGAAAGTGCATATCATCTGCTTGACACTTAAATATAAATCGTAGTTTTTTTAATAAGTACAGGTATTTATAACAAAACTTAGTCGTACCTTAGGGAAGAAAAAGGTAAATAATGACATGGTTGTGCAATACAATATTAGACAACCAATAGCGGCGTAAACTTCGCCATGACTGTTGGGTATAACAAACGATATCGGTATAATAATAATGCACAAAATTGTTATGTTATATATACAGAGAGCAATCTGTTTAGAATCATTCAGCTCTGAGAGTTTAATTTTTCTTGATTCGTAAGCTAAAAAAGCCCCAAATAGTAACACTATGCCGTTCAGGATGAGTGTAGCGATAAGCCAATAAACGCCATAATTGCATGTACATACCCAGTAAGTATGTACAATTTTATATTTGTATCGATTAGGATCAGACTAGCATTGATTTATAGAATAAGAATTATTACAAGAAAGTATTATGATTCAAATAAGAATGAGTAGTAGTCTAGTTAACTATATTTATGCGTAACTTATTACATACAGTTTACATACGAATGATACGATATAAAAGTGAATAAATAAACTTACGATTGGCGGAGCTGCCATTTTTTCCGCCTTTAATGGATCGATTGCTGTCCAAAAGGTTAGTAGAATAGCTTCAATTGCCATTAATATCAGGACAATTGCAAGTAGATGAGAATCTTTTAATGGCTACAAGTAATAATTATAATGGATAAGTAATAGAAGTTACTTATCACAGCGACAGCTTCGATATTTACCGTAGATATACGTATCTTACCGAAGTTATTCGAAATCTAGTCGTTAAAACTTTGTAAGCTCTATACGTTTTAGCAAATAGTGACCCTGCTGCTAAGGAGAATCCAATACTGTTTAGCCATGGTATTATCTATCCAGGTATATAAATTTAAGGAAATTATAAAAATTCTAGCTGTAATGTTCCGTAACAACTTGAAATTGAGTAAATTTTAGGAATTTATCAGGTATCTGCTGAAGTGATGTAATATTTTAATCAATCTCGATTGCAAATCTCCAATATTACAGGATTTTGAGTTTTGCTACGTACAAATTCCGAAAAGAGTTAGTCCGATAGTAAGATCTCACTAATTTCTGCCAACTTCAATGTGTAATAAAGACAAAGTTGCATAATTGATAGTTGCAGGCTTACCTTGCAATATGTATTAAGGTAGCTTGTACTATCGTCAATACCCATGATAATAACCGATGCGTATAGTAAGATGCACCCAGTCAGGATTAAATAATTGAGATTTGGACTTGATATCCTAATCTTGCTAATAATATGGGAAATTATTACTCGTTGATATCTGTCATCTTACATCATTTAACAAGCTTTTGTTCTTCGGCTAAGAAAGATTGCATTTATAAATATTCCACTAAAATTTTATGATAGGTGATACTTTAATAATCAATTCGTGAATTACGTATGTAGATAACAATTCATCTACATGAAATTGTTAAATATTATCTTAATCTATTTCATATCTTAATACCGAGTATTTCGATATCGATAGTTGTAAAATAAAAAAAAGACGGCTATTATGATTCCAATAAATGATAAAGAAGCCATGATAATAAACAGATACAACGGTATTCCTGCATGAACTTCTTCAATAATATATCCTGATACTGGTGGCCGTCCACCTAATAAGATTTCATAATTTAGCGTTTATCCTCCATTTAATAATATCTAACATTTATTTTAATATACAATAAGTAAATGTTGCAGCTACCTGTCCAACGTATAGGTACTAACTCTGTTGCCTGAAAATCTATTCTGTCATTTTTATCTATTAATCCAACATTCACAATTCTGTTCCCTAAATATTAATAAAAGCATATCAAAAATACAGCTAACTACAGCCTTTATACCTATGTTTATGCCACACCTTGTAGCTGCCTGAAAAGATTAACACCCGGTGGCTCTTGATCAGAATTATTCAATATTTTAAATCCCTGTCCAAACAATAGTATCTGTCATTATAATTTAACTATCAATAAATGTCAGTAATCAAGAATATAGTCATTGTAATCACAGGAATTGCAATAGTTAGTCCACGGCCCTCTACCGAATAGCTGGATTTATGTTACTTACTGAAATCCCCTGAAATTTTACTTTGCGCATTTCTTTAAGAATGGTCCTACCGACAAAAGAATCACTATACCGAAAATCATCTAAGCTCTTGTTTTCGGCAGCCAATTCTCGGATAACATTATCAAGACACAATCCTATGGCCCAAATAGCATCATAAGCAAACCCAACGTATTGATTTTTTTCTATCTGTTTTTTTTCAGCGAGGTCTATGTAGCGTTGCTGAAATTGGTAAGGAGTCTAAATATGGTAATGAAAGCACAGTTATTAAATAGCGGCATACTAGCATAAGACTTTCTCATGACGTTAAACTTTAGCCAAGTTGGAAAAAAATTCTGAATGATAATTACTTAATACTTTGCGTAATGTTTGTGCTTTGGCCAGTACAGTATATGAATATTACCAGACATTTTGCTCAACTTACCATTCCCGATACTGCAGTGATATTATTGTATTCGATTTCAACGAAATCTACTATAAGATAATTCTGCGCAGCTTCTTTAATTTGTTCAGAGGTACAGTTAATACTTGCATCATTGATACTATTTGTCCAGAAATTTTCCGTTATCCAACTAGTTACAAACCATACATATTCCCTTCCGTAAAGACCAAGATGAAAAGCCTAGTGTTTAAGGTGTTGTTAAAGCTCAGTATGTAAGTTCCTTTTGCTTATTTAAGTGTAATTTCAAGGGCACTAAACAATTGCTATAATTTATTACCGTAGCCTGTAATTTACTCCAAATATAAGCTGGTATTTGCTAAAATTACTATACTGTAGTTAGAAAATAGATAGAAATATTTCACCCTCTAAAATGCTAGCCTTTCAATGACTAAGAATAAAAAAATTTTTGAATCTTCTTTTAATATTTGTTCTAAAAGTAATACACATACTTTAGAGGATTAAGCCATATTAGGATTAATATCTTACTCTTATAGTCAAAACAGTTTAAAATTTAATTTCCTTATTTGTTTGCTATGCTCAGATCTTTATGTCTTAATCACTGAATAAGTTTCTCATTTAGTTCGTACAGTAGGCGTTAATGACTAAGTACCAGGCCTGTTATTAATAATAAAATGCTATAATATCTCAATCAGCTAGCAACAAACTCTTCTACACCTAAAAATCGGGGACGGATGTTCGCTAAATTGCTCTAGAGCACTTCTAAATATCTATAACCGGCCTTCAATATATTAGTCATGGTATAGCTACATTCTTGCAAATACGGCACATTTACTACGTTGCATTTTTTGATATCTTTAACAAATACTATCACAATAGAACAAATCCTCGATGCTCTTCTAGAGAGCGGCACGGCTATTAAATTGAGATTAGCTGTCACTAATGTTGTAAACAGATTAGCCATACTGAATCCAGTGATTATCAAAAATACGTATACTACGCTTTCGAATAAAGTAGTTATAACTTAGCCAAATACTATATAATACTGCCGATAAAGTTATTGAATATTTGTGTATAGTAAATTACATTGCAACGCAACTAATTCTAGTCTAAATGAGTAGACAATATATCGGAATAAAATGTTAAACTTGAAAAAATTACTTGGCAGAAAGCTTTCACTGCATCAGCTTCGTGAATAAGCGCAATAATGATATGTGCTTTGCTATCCTACAAATATACAAACAGTACGCACGATTAGGTTTATAAATTGTAGCAGTAATTTGTCGAATAATTCTATGTAATAAATTGTCATATTTTTAACATGCTAACTATAAAAAATTCTATATACGTATTACAATCTCAAACAACACAGTAATTCTTTCAGATTTAATGTACGCGTATAATTAATTAATTCAATATAATTTAAAATCAAGGTTTAAAATTTACTCGAACATGAGATCAATTTTACTGTGCTGGTAGTCGGATAATTAGTAAGATCTTTGATAGGCAACTATCAACATTTTATAAAATGCGGGTACACGAGTTATTATAATGTAATAAGCTAATCCACGAATTTTCTATTATTTGACCATACTAATTGTAAACCTTTTCTAAATTAATCGCAAACAAGCTGCGTGACATTCTGGGGAATTTACCGCCAATGAATAGATACTATTGATCCGATAATCACAATAATAGCTAGTCTACAAAATTCTCATCAACTGACTGCAACTATCGTAATTAAACGCGAAATGGTGAACATTTTTACGGTGATAAGTGCAGACGATTTACATGAATGACTGGGTATAGGTATAAGAATAAGCTAATTCATGAAATTTCTCAATCATTTAATTGAGATATTACAGCAGGACTACTTTACATTAATTAATTCATAACAAGTCGCGTAACAATTCGTTGAGACGTAATAACTTGTGACATAACCCTCTAATACTAAAAGAAATAGACTGTATCAATTACTTACGTTACCTAAGGAAGGTAATTCTGTACATTTCATGTAATCCTACTTACCAGAATACTCTTTAGTTCTCTTTTTAAGTTAGATAAATATGTAAATTCTTCGTCAGCTAAAACTTTTATTCCAGCTTTTCCAAGATCGTGTCTCAGTATTTCAACACCCTAAGCATCAAATAAGCTAATATTAAAACTTTTCCTACAGTATATAATACATTGCATAATCTCATGCTATCGCTGATACGCATTTGATTTTGTTCTATCTATAATATCTAGTAGTATAGCGATACCAGTTATTAATATAATTCATTATTCAATTATTGCATTACCCTATTAAAGGTTACGCTAACAGTATGTAAAATAGCCACACTTGTCCAATTGTAATGCGCTAAAACCGGTAGAATTGGTCGTGTTAGATGTGTTATATCAGGACATGTCCTGAAAAAGTTGTGATATTTTTCACTATCTGATAGATCAGAGCTAACTGAAGCAAAGGAAACCTGAAAGTTATTAAATTAAATCAATTAGATTAATTAATTTATAGTATATCGAATAAAGCATGATAATTTCCGTCCAAAATAATTCAACAAACGGTATCTGCCTCTCAGTCGTTTATTACCGCTAATATTAAGCAAAAAATTCTGACTATGACTAAGGAATCATAGCTATAACCTTCGAAAATTAAATAAGTTAAACAATATTTGATATTGGTATATTGTAAATCATGCTATTTTTTCTCGCATTTATTGTTCGTCTAGGTCGTAAGAGAAAATTTTTAATACTAGATTCTATTAATATGTCGGCGATGTTCATATAATAATTGTGATAAACTTTTACAAGTACATAACTAACAACATGTCGTAGCCATGCGTACTTGATTTATAACTCTAAATATTAGCAATTTTAGCATTTATTCTAAACTTGTTGATTCACAAATAAGCCAAAAAATCTTTATGGATAATAGCCAAAGTTTTCGTTCTTAGCAGGAGGCATAAATTTTACGACTACTTCAAATTAATATATGGGAAGTTCACTAATCGTATCTATCCGATTAATCTATATCATCGCTATCTTCAAATTAATAGAACGGCTAAATATAAATTTATAATTTTTATGCTGCTGTATGCGATACGAAAGGAGATGACAATATACACTAAATGGGCAGTACAGTATTAATCATACTTGGGTAATATACGTAGGTAGAATGCATTATTAATTCGCTAATTGAAAGACTCATGGTCACACAAATATGAAAAAGATCAGTAATTTTTCAGATGCATTGGAATAGAATGTGTCGTAGCATTTACTTGTCTCACATGTACATCCATCTATAGATTATAACAACTAGTAATATATCAGACAATGTGAATACATAGAAATTGACCGAATTTTGATAAACTCTATTAAATTGACGTTAGCCAATTCAATGAAAACAGTACCTGTAATAAGTTAAAGGAAGGAATAACCATTGCAAGTGAGGCAATAACTTCAGAATATCCACCAGAAATCAATATTTGCGTTTTATGCTTCCATCTTGTAGTGTTTAAGAAATAGGATAAAGCATGCGATGAACTAGCCTACCATATAATACAGATTCGATTTAGTACGCAGTATATATGAACGAGACTGGATGCGAAATCGGTCATTTTGCAAACTGCCCGGGTATTTTGCAAAATGACAATACGGTAAGACATTTTGCAAAATGTTATGCAGTATGGTCATTTTACAAAATGCTTTAGCTACAGTAGCTGTCATTTTACTACAACAATTTTAAAATTGACTGTAAATGTTTTGAATAGAAAGTCGCTACAATAACTGCTATATTAACTACTAAAACAATCACTACATCTATTCCGAAGGGATTGCAACCATTGTTGAAGCAAAATTTTTCGTAAATATCAATGTATGTACAAAAACCTTTAATCCTTAATGATCAATCTAGTACGGTATCTTAAGTAGTAGTATTTAACAAGACAAATGTAAAGGAATAACGTGTTTTATTATTATCGTAAAATGAAATAATTAAATACTTTTCATATAAGGAAGAAATCTGTAGGGTCAGTCGCTTAAAATTTGTCTTCAGTGCATTGCTATTCGTATCAAGTGGTTGATTTTGCACACTTGGCGTCGCATCAACAGTGATAGCATATTGTGTTATATATTATTGAAAGATATTTAATTGACTTAGACTAGTTCTCGAGGATTATTATTTACGGTCAGATTAATTTATCAGCACATTTTTACAATTGATATTGACCTATATTAAATGTATGTCGTATGGGGTATAAATATCCAATCTTGGCGAACAAATAAAAATTTATGTTACAACACTACAGTAATGGCATTATGAAATTATAGTTCTGTATGCAGTGAATTCAAAGAACTTTACATTATACGTATCTATTGAGACGATCTCTTTGCTACATTTCTAAGATTAACGTAATGTGCCGGTATTTCTCTCTTCTCTTATCTCGATTACATTACCATGAATATCGTAAAAGATATTAAATGAGCACATTATCGTAAACCGTCAGTAAAGCGACGGGAGTTTGCACTAGTTACTTTGAAACGATGATAACAGATAATAAGTAACAGTTATAGATAAATTGATTGTTCTGATAATGGCGTTAGTAGTGACAATATTCTCAAACTTGTACCATTTACAGTTAATGCTCTAAGTTCGTTAGCGCCAATTAATCAAGATGGCATATTGTTTATCTTGTATATCCGAATCTAGTAAGTTATTATCAACATGATCTCGTTATAGGCGTACTTTTAACAATTATCAGAGCTGTTCATTTATGACTGTAAGATACAGAAGCGGTTTAACTGACTATAAATAGTATTGTATGTCAGTGCATTCAGAAAACTGCGTGATCTTAGATCATTTCTAAAATTTAGGTTTTCACTCTGCTATGAATCAGTCTTACACAGTACTAATTTATGTCAGATTTTATCATGACTACGGTTACTAAGATATAACGGTAGATATTGAAATTATTCTCCTTTAGCTATCTTTGATAAGAAATATGATAATAAATCTTTTCTGTCTTCTTTTCGAATAGAATAAAGCGTAATCTTAAAGCGTTTAGGACGCGGTTGCAAGTGTATTTACTTGTATGTACTATTGCTAGATACAGCTTTTCAAGTACCCATAGGCTTGAAAATGTGTTATGACAATAACGGGCATTTCGAAATTGTTTTACCTTTAACCAACTGTAATGTAACTTAGTATTGTGATTGTAGACTGTTAGCCATGTGTAGTATAATGTTACGGTAGATATTTATCCTAAGAGATATCTGGTAGCTATAACTATAGACTGTAGTGGTATAGACTCTATGCTAGAGTACAGATGACTATATACAGTAAGCTGTTGAGTTACTAATAAGGTTATAGGTAAAAATAGAACTGTAAATCATATATTAGGATATGGTTAATTCATTGTACTTTGGCTAGTGTGAATAGTGTCTACGTAAGTACTGTAGTCGTATCCATATTGGATTAATGATGGTCCGCAGTAAAATAGTCTTACTAAGAATAATTTAACTATGTGTAAAATAAGGTAAAAGGTTGCCATGCGGATTGTAGCTGCGAATGCTACGGAAAGTATAAAAGCATGCAACTTTAGATTATTCTGTTAGTTCGTTCTAGAAGTCTTTAGCAGTAGTATTCGGCTAGAGTAGAGCTGTGTAGTTAATCTTTGTATAAGATTCAATAAAAGCCCTTATTTTTCTAAAATTTGGAATTTCGTGATTGGTATATATCACACCAACTAATTTAAGCTATTTTATACGAGCAGAATAGTAATTGAATACTTAAGTTCACCGTGCAATTTTTCTAACTATGCTGCAAAATAGTACTTTCTAAACTTTAAAACTTGGCGCCATTTGACGAGCTGGAGCAGTTAAATTTGTGATAAAGGCTAAACTCCAGAATTGTCCTTTATAGAAATTTAATTGCATAATTATTTTTACGGATATGCTATAAACGAGATAGCGTATCAATTTTTAGAATATCATGCAAATCCTATCGCTCTATTTATCTTCTAATGTATGGATATCAGTCCACTATGCATTCAATGAATACAGTATCATATTCGCAGATAATACATCGACTGATTTTACGGTTCGGTTGTTAATTTAGTAATATGCAGTAGCCTGAAGAGGACATAACCTTTCTGAGCCTTTATGATAAGTTACTAGACTAATTTAGGCGTACTAGCATGATGGTTCTCTGATTACGATAACATCAAGATCTCTGCAAAGCACTTGAATTGATAGCTTAACTCTAAGCTTTTTTTCCAGAAAGTATTAATGTGGTAGCCACAGTATACTACTGTAAACTCGCTAAAATGAAATAAATATATCCCTCCTATACTTCCCCATGCTAAGTTAATTTGGTCATAACAATGACCATCAAATTTCTCTATTTAAAGGCGCCATATTGGCATAAATTGTCAAATGAGGAGGTAGGAAAATCTCACTGAATTTGATTGATTCATTATTAATCAACAATAATTACCTTCAGAGAACTTTATTATGATATCGAAAGCATCCATCTCTATATTAAGTCGTATCTAACTATCCTTTTTATCGTAAGTTCGATCCAAATAGGTACGAAAACTATTAATGCTTGCGATCCTTCGTAGTGAACGGATTTTTAGCCCTTCAAAAATGTACTAAACTGACTTATCTTATAATTTTCATAATCTCTTAGATAATGATGGCTACAGGATTTTAGTTGCCGTATGGTATTCTTATGATAGTCAGGTAACAGTAAGATGCAATTTTCTGCTAGATTGAGTCAGATACGACTGTGTACTGAGTATAACATCAGCTAATATTATAAGAAATCTCATTCGTAAAGCATAGGGGAATAGGCTAGTATTTAATATATCATCACAATACACTACATTTACAGACTATCGCTTGTCGTTTTCAGATTAAGAGATGCTCAAATTTTGAAATCGCATTATTGTCTTATTGAAAAATCGTGTTATGAAAAATATATAACCAAAAATTAGCTGATGTATCAAATAATAAATATCTTCCCAAGGCGTTATGACAGTTTATACCGTAGGCATAGCTTGTCCTGATTACGTTTGTTAAATACTAGCAATGTATAAGGTGATTAATCGACTTTGATGATCATGTCGTAGCTATTATTATTTGTGTTATCCGCTGAAATATTTGGCTTACCTGTGTATCTCCCCACTGTAAATTCACGTTATAATTTTTTAATATGTTTGGGCTTTCATTGATGTCTTGAACTGCCATTTTTATTGCAGGGAGTGCACCCATAGCATTCCACTGACCTTCGCGTACAGTTAATGGGATAAGTCCAGTAATTGTTATAGTTTTCTTTCCATTCTTCGAAGAATTTTCGGACCGACTTGCTGACATTGAGAATAGCATTATCAATATGAAATTTAATAGTAAGACGGTTAATAGTCCGTGGCAACCTTGGCGAAGAGACATAATAGAATCTTATACTGTACGATCAATTAATATAAACCAAAGTTCTACTCCTTTTTCGAATTCCGAAACTATTTTTTGTTTGAAATTTTCAGAAACTATGTACGGTCATGAACAGTGATTGTATCCGGGTTAAGTAGGATACGTCATGAAAAATAATAAAAAAGTAATAATCCGTATTGAAATTCTTTTAACATAGTTTATTTTTTCGTTGCTAACAGAATAAATATAGGATCAGTTTATGGCACTAATGACATTACAATATAGAAATAATAAGATGGATAATGCCAAATCTATAGTAGATCGCAATAGAGATTTTATAAGAGGAAACTATGTTACTTGTTCTGTAATACTGTGCGTTGTATTTATTATATAAATTAATAACATGTATTTCCGAACATCGCAGATGACGTTGTTACATCATCGAAGAATATTGATTTGTTGTTTTTATGGTCGTATTAATAATTTAAACGATGTCTGTTACTGTTTACCAAATTTATTATCAAGCTCATGCACAAAGGGACATAACCATTCACTAGCTGCACTAATGCTTTATTATTTATTTAGGTTTATATTTTTTAGGTATTGTTATATTACTATAAGTTATACCGTAGTGCTTAAAGCTACATGTTATGTTCAATATAAATAAATTTTTTGTTCGTACAACTAATTTTCTCGGAATAACTGTCTTTAAATTGACCCTGATTCATGGTTATCGCACTCTTAGTTGCTACCTCTGAATTCGTATATCTAGTATTATTCTAGCTAAACTTATGGAACGAAGAACTACAAAGTTTAGTTCACTGAAATCCTAGTTACCTTAATTTCACATTTGTTCATATACTCTTAAATTATCGCGTTACCATATCTGTACCGGCTGTAATGTGTCTATGTAGAGCACTTTCCGAGAATTCATTTAATATGATTTTAACATAGGCATAAGAATGACAAGTTGTTAGATAATTTGAATTTGTACTCTTTGTTAAATTAATTTAAAATTATTGTCTTGCGTTAAAAACAGGCAACCTGTATTTTGCAACTTCCTTCTTATTCGCTTTGAAATTCGAATTAAATTCAGCTCGCCCAATCCTACTTAAAGACACAATAAAATTTGTCGGATATGAGATAAGCAAAATAGTAGTATTAGTGTTGATTCTACACGGTTTTTCATTTCTAAGTGCAGTATACGGGAGTGAAGTTTATATCTTGATCAAGTTACAAGCTCCTTGATTTAAAAATTTTGCATGGTAGCTAATTCTGAACTAGTTTTTCACTTAATGTCGTAACTTTACGATTGTAATTATATAAAGTTATACAAATTTTAAAATTACTTTTAAGTATTGCAGCATTCGAATTATTAGCATAATAAATAGATAAATTAAAATGAGGGTGAATAAAATTTCTGGAGTATTGATACAGAATTTCGGAAGCTATTTTAGCTAGAATTAAGGCAAGTATGCGACCTATAAATTGTTATTAGAATACATAACATATTCTAATGCCATTAATTTATTTATAATTCGATTTGAACATCTGCAGTCTTAATTAATTGTTAAATATTTTCTTAAGTTAGAATAATTAATCATACCAAGAGTAACAAAGTAAATGACTCTACATATAAAATTAACGATTATGAAAGTATAAAGTCGACAATAATCTGAACGTAGCCTCATCTAATCAGTTGACCTTACTATTCAGCAAGTGTAGCAACAGTTTTCAATTTAGAAGCTTTGAAGAAATCTTATGTACCAAAACATGTCTGAATAGACTTATACAAAGCTATAGATAAATGAATGGCTAAATAAATTAATGGTCTATCACAACTATTAATGAAATTAGTCGCTATTACGGCGTTAGAATGATGACTATGCTTCGTAGGGTAGGCACCGTAGTCTCGGAGTCAGGTGTATCCTATTTATTTAACATCGTAATTTTTTGACTAGAGTGAAAAACTTACTAGAAAATATGCCTCGTATCTATCTATTGAGAGCTCAATAATAACTGCAATGATAACCGAAATATTTTCGGTAAATAACGCATATTAATTCGGACCCAGCAACAAACACACCCGTGTCATAAAACAGCTTTGCAACGAGATAACGTAATGTAAGATCAATAAGTCAATTCCTTGAACCACGTATCAAGGAACGATATCTGTGCTATCAGGAACGCTTTTGCTCTTCTGGCAGACTATACAAAGACTAAGACGCCTCATATTTTACGTTAAACACTAAGTTTAAGAATTAACTTTATTTACACGATATATTGCGTTTATATACTCTTCCTCAATAGTTCATGAGTCATAGTTAGTACGATCAACTTTGGAATCATTCACTGAATTAGACATAAATTTTAGTTACTATTCCCTAATGCAGACAACAGTATTTACGAACATAGACATCTGATGACTAATACAGAATAGTCAGATTACGATATGTCCTATCACGGAATATTTCTACGATAATTTTGTTGATTTACCCTTATATGAAGAGTTTCTAATTTAGATATGTGATATTAAATAATATAGCACTAGCTTTTATGGTAATATATAAAGCCTACTGAAATTAGCAGTTTAATTAGGGAATCGAGAATAATCTTAGAATTCAAATCACTGTGATTGTAATTTACTTATGGTAGATTATAGATTATCGTAGAAATGTTCCGTGATAGGACATATTGTAATCTAACAATTTTGTATTAGTCATTCGCTGTCGATGTTCATAAATACTGTTGTCTTCATTAGGTAGCAGTAGATAAAATTAGCTTTTGATTCATTATCAGGTTTCAATGTTAATATTACTAACTAGGATATCTTTGCTATTGTAAAAGTGTGTATAAATGCGATAATTCGTATAGAGTAGATATTGCTCCCTGATAGGTGGTTCAATTAGAAGTTAACTAAATAAGGATAGGCTAACAAAATTACCCTAACATAGATATTTCTACTCTAATACGGTATATAACACTGTCACAACCTGATACTCGAAATCTTTTAAATATTTGATTCATCGTCAGTTAGCCTGATCAAATGTTAAATTATGCCTATAAACAATACAGTACAAGAGAAAGAAGTTCAGATCTACCACTAAATAAAATTAACTCGGTAATTTGGTCTAATTGCTAGCTACGATGCTAAGGCATTTAAAAAAATTAACTTAATTAATCTACCATGTTCAAGCAACATGCGAATCTAACGCGAATTTTAATGTTATTTTTGTAGACAAAGTAAAATAAACGTTATTAATGATTAATTGTTATCATGTCACCTAGACAATTTTACTTCTCGTCTATAATCTAGGCGATCTATTATCGTCTTATATCATAAAAATCAAAAGATTGAATTGGGGTTATAAATCCAAAGACCTGTATCCTTAATTGTTGACAAGTAGACACTGATGTGACGATCTTCTGTTATGTAATCGTGTGCCTAAAGTTAATATTGGATAAGTTCTCTTTCATAAATTGAAGAACTGCAGAGATGATAAGTAAAGGGTTTATAACAATTTGATTAAATTTTCTCTCCAAAAGTTGAAATACGTCGCTAATTAATATGAAAAAGGAATAAAAAATTAATTAAAGTAATTTTTACTGAAATTATGGTTATAAATCATAGTTACTGCTTACTATTGCACTTGTTGATGAAGGAGTATCGTTGTCTAATAAAATCATACAAAATGCGTAATTTGTAGTATGTGGTCATAAGACTATCATGTAATTTTTTGGAGTCAAAGCAAGCTTAGTATACCTATTTTAGGCCTTAAACATGCCTGTAGGAAAGATATAAAGGCTTTTCGCCTAATTGGTAGCTCTATTCATATTGAAAGAAACAATAGCCTTGATGATTTAGCTATAAAATTGATTTTTCAGCATGTAAATTTTGGTAGAAGCTCATTAGAAAACATATTACAAACTTGTGAAGCAAGCCATTCATAATCAACATGACGTATATTTACGGTAAGCAGAGTTCGTGTATTTTCTCTTTAAAAGAAGCTCTTTAAATGATTTAAACTCCCTTATAATCAAGTATTCTCTTTTACTGAAAACTGTTTAGTAGAATACAAATTTTGAATGAATGATCATGAGGTAAATATCACAGTTCAGATTGTGTTATGAGTAGAACTCACCAATTATAATATTTACGAATAAGTATTATAGTTTAAACTATCACATAAATTGGATATAGTATTCTATTACAACAGTAGTAGCTTGAAATGTAGTAAAATTTCTCCAATGGACTGATATCGTAGTTGAAAGGTTTAAATTCTTGTAAACTTTGTTATCGTTTACTATCAAAATGAATTTTGTATTGGTGATAAAACAAGCCTTGTCAGCTAAATAATTGCTTATTCATAATTCTTATATAGTTTTCCTTTCAAACTTAGCTCAAAGTATCTTAAGTCGTAATACCTCGATTATGCTACATCATGGATAACAAAAATTTATTAATACGAGGTAGTATTTATCGACAAGTCATAGGCGGCTGATTCTGAACTACTCTGAATTTTTACTGATTTCAATTGTTACATAACGCAGATCTAATTAAGCTTATAAACGCCCGGTTAATTAATCCTTTCCATCATTGCAACAGTGTTTCAGAGACCTTAGTATGTCGTGTAGACGGTACTTTGCTATACTTAAAAATGATTACATAGCTGCAATTTTAAAATATCGATAATTAAAGAAATCTTTAAAATAGCTTACATATTTAATTAGCGATATAGCTATTGACGTATCTATAATTAGCAACAATATAGATAACAATATATCTGACGAAATGGTTCCTTTAGCAGTTACTGCTGCAATATTGAATGCTGAAAACCATTAAAAATTAAGAATTATTACTATGCCTCGAGAGTTTTCGTATTATTGAACAGTACGCTCGCTATATACTATAATTAAAATTCATATAATAGCCGCATTAACGCGAGATTAAAATTGAATTTGTACTATTCAGAATGATCATTAAATTTAAGTCTTATCATTATGCAGTAGCTTGGTAAGTGTATTATTCAATAGTAGAATTATAATATTATTTACTCCATTTTGATCACGAGTCGATCTTTGTATTTGTGCTTTTGTCTCCAACAGAGAAAAATCGCCCATTAGGATAAACGACATCATGTTTATACTTAATCTGTAATAAATTGATAAATTCAAAGTTAATAGATACGAATATTAAATAGTATCCTAATCATTATTGAAGTAGGCAGTAAAATATTGCGCATAGTCGCTATAGAGCTATTACCAACATAAATAAGATTATGGTATATCAGAAATACTGTCAATACCTTTGGGATGAAGAAAATACATGTTGTCGTTGTTGTACAATAGAGTATTAATCCACTCGATGCAATATATGTTTCTCCAGATGTATTTGGTAAGAAAAATGAGATTGGAATGACAATAATACATAAAAGTGCAACATTATAAATACAAAGAGCAATTTGTTTCGATTCATTCATAACAGATAATTTAATATTTCTTGCTTCATAAGCTAGAAATGCGCCAAAAATTAACACGAATGCATTTAAAGTTAAAATTATAGCCAGCCATATGACAAAATTTTTGCACGAACATTCTAGTAGTCTTGGAACTAAAATTATAAAGCTGTTGTTTGGAGAAGTCTAGAAAAAAGTTAATAATATATTTAAGATGTTTAAAACTAGTACTAGTACCGAAGAAAATCAAGTACATATAACATTTATAATTATACGTGTATTTATCAAGGTAAAAAGTCTAACTGCTGCAACGTAATTATTAGTTTCCTTTTTAATTACACACGTAGATACTAAAGTTTACTTATTACAATACCTGTCTAGGTAAGATTCTATACTCTGGCTTCATTGGATCCATTACTGTCCACGTCGTTAATACCATTGTTTCCATAAGAATTAATACTGTTACTATACCATATAGATGATAATCATGTATAGGCTATCCGATTTCAATAGTTTGGCGTTTCGTTAGATTATGCATATACAGAAGAAATCAATATTAATATATACTTATATATTTAATATATAGAATAAACTAGATTTTTATTTCTATCTGCATAAAGGAATGGATCCAGTAAAATACAAATATACAATAAATTTACAAAAGCACTTACATTAATTCTTTTTCTGCTTGTCAAAATTTTATAAGCTCGATAGGTCTTAGCAAACATAGAACCAGATACTGTAGCAAATCCTATTATTGTTAACCATGGTGCTAACTTTTTCGATGGTACAGTATAACAATTAAGTCATTCGTTACAAATAAATTTATAATGTAAATGACTACTCAAAGACGTATCGTATACAAATATGTTCATTAAATGTATGAAATCTGAAAAATATTCATTAAAGAGTCTAAAGTGCTATATTTTACCACTCAAATAAGTGATATGCAGGCATAAGTTTTAATGAATATGTGTATTATTAGAAATTCATTAAAACTAGTCTATTGCTACATACTGTTAATTAATGATGCGGTATTTATACACATAGGTGCTTTTGGTGATATATTTAAGGTTCTAACTTATATTGCAACATTGGCAGACCCCCATTTTCCCTATTATACTCGTACATACAGTAGTATAATGAGTTTGCGTCCTTTTATAATAATAATTGATTGAAAATTGTGTTTACTATACGCTTGAATAATTTTGATATTAATTTGCTAATATCACGTTCTGTAATAGTTACATAATTAGTATGTTACCTTCTTTCTATATATAGTTAAATATCACGATGTTATCACGTCATGCGTATATAGATGTAGTTATGGTACTATATTAAGGTTATCTATATATGTATTCTCACGTTGCCATACTTGGCATGATATTCTATTTGTAATGTCTAAACTATGGAAACCTTTCTGTTAGTGATGATCTTGTGATCTACGTCAGTAGATCAAAGGTCACAATAAAGAAAGTATATAAACTCTTTATTTAACAATAAAGTTAGTTCTTCAACTTAATACTGGGTCTCCTTGCTGAGTGCAGATCTAGTACTTGTTACAAAATTTGGAAGTCGTAACACTAATTACTACGGATATTTCTAATAAGTATTATATTACTTACCATACATAAAGTTGCGGATGATATAATACTAATGGTTCCACTTATAATGTTTGAACTGTACAATAGAATGCATCCGATTAAAATGCAATTATTCAAGTTGGGGCTGGACATTTTAATAACTCTAAAAGTATGACAGAATAAAGTCTTATATAAGCAGAAAATTTCTTGGCTTTTTTGTATCAAAATTCCAAAATAATATTCTGTCAGTTATTTTACGTATACGTGAAGATGATAATTGATTAAAGGTAGATTACGAGCTGTTTACTCTAGATCTTCTATATTACATATTTAGGTACCGTATTAATTAAATTCTTTTATTTCTTCAAACATACTTCAATTAATTTACTATAGTAAAATTTATAGATATCTTAATTCTACATTACTATTTGTGACTACGTGTTTGTTTTATCTTACAGCTACTTTCAATTAAGTACAACTAGACATATTTTAACATGAATATGCTGTTTCTAAAGCTAATTAAATCTTGCTTTTAAGCACTGCATCGTGCTGTCAGTGTTATTCGAAACGAGTAAAGTACATTATTATCACCTGGCGTTTCTGTATTTATTGTTGTAAATCATAAAAACTATAGTCAAAATTATGGCTAAACATGATAGAGCGGCCATAATGATAAAAACATGTAGTGGAAGCCTTGTATCAACTTGTTTTAATTTAATACGATCTACTGGGGGTCCAGCACCTATATCAATTAGAAAGTTGTTATTATTCACCAATAAACTTAATAACGTATTACAGTACTAGAAAAGTTTAATTATATTAACATTTTCATAAGACTAGTATAATTCTCATTAAGGTCAAAAATCGTGTTCAACCTGCCCATCTTATAACATTCGGAGGTGTAGTAAAGAAATCGACGCGTTTCTCTTTAGGCAAAATAGTAGCAACTGTTCTTTTGACGTTACCTATTTGTAAGAAATTTAAAGAACGGATAATAATATCTCATAGATAAAATGTCTGTTGCATGTTTCAAAGTAAAAGCAATAAAAAGTAAACAATCATTGCTATATCTATTAAATCGTAATAGATTCATTTTAAAATTAACCTAGAACTAACAAACCTTGATATTGAACTAGATATGTAACATGTGGATGAACATCGCCAAATGTATCAAATTGGACTATATTCTGTCAGCAGAAATGTTACCATTATTTTATCCAAGCCATAAAGCAGTATACAAATAAATTGGTATAATTATGGGTTAATAAACTATGCAAATAATGAATCATAGCGTTATATTTAATTATGCGGTTAATTCTTTGATCGACAAATGTCCTCAAATTAGTCTAATGTATTCCTATAGCTGCATATTGAAGGCAGTCTGCTAATCTTAAGAGATACAAAAACGATACTTTAGCTTATTTTAACTATGAAATGTGAAATGAGAAAACATCGGTAATAATTTAATATACACTTTGGTAGTATTTATACTACATAAATTTTTGTTATTTCTAAATTCAAGCTAATCAAATATATTCTTGCGATATATCACTTTACACCGTAATAGTCTAATATTAATCTTTCATATATTATAGTTGTATTCCATAACACTAACTTAATGATATATTGCTATTCATACGTATTACCAGTAGCACAATTCTCATTACAGTCATTCAAATCTCTCAAATACTGTATGTAAGAGTATAAATTCGATATTTACTAATTATAAATTATCGTCTAATCTATGAAGTATTGTAACGATCTAGATTGAGAATATAGCTTTAGTTATATTGATTATAATTGCATTGGCAAAGAATTCTGGCTAACTTAGATTTTTGGTATATAATAATGTGACTCTACTGATAATTAAGTTAATTTAATAGCAGCCACATTTTCATATTTGCAATATAATATAATAAAAACGTTTAAAATTTTAGATTTAAGTAAAGTAAACATACGCATATTTCAACGTGGACTAACAGGCAGTTTAACTAATATCGTACACTTTACATACGTGTACTTCTTTTAGAGGCTGATTGAACATCTACAGTAGTAGCTTACACTTATTCCCGAAAAATTGAGGTTATACATCTCTTCCTTAAGTATTCGTGACATCTCTCTATCGCCGTAGTGAAAATCTTCTAACGTCCGGTTAAGCTCGGCTAATCGTTTAATTGAGTTATTCATAGCCATCGCTTCCGCCCAAATAGAATCGTAAGCAAAAGCAGCATAACTATTGGGATAATAGGTTTGATTAACGATAGTTGGCCAGTTATTATAGCGAATGTTAAAGTTATTCGGCGTCTAAATTCGTAAGATAAACAGTCGGTTAGTAGTAATTTATAAATCGTCAAGTAATAATGTAACAGTGTTTATTTGTAGTATTGAATCAAGTAATGCGTGATAATAATACGTAATTTAATAATTATCATGAGTGAGTTCTATCGTAATCTCAAGGATAAATTTTTTCATTATAATTATACAGACAAAATGCGAGACTTTACATATTCCGTAATATAAAATTTAGCTGGTACAGTGTTATAAAATTGCAATATAGAGATTAGAGTGGAAATAATTTAGGAATTGCCGATCATTCCTAGGATTGGTCGGCCATTCTTAGGAATGATTAATGTCTTAGCAAAGACCGTGACTGACCTTAAGGACAACATCAGTCTTAAGAATGGCCGTAACATACATACCGAAATTAATGGTTAAATAAGGGAGTTAAGAATAATCTACTTACAGCCTGAATCATCGTGATTATAACTGACTTATGATAAATTATACTAGTAGATTATCACGTGAATATTCCGTGATAATAACTTATTTTAACCTGGCTATCTTGTATAAGTCTCTGTTGCGGTGTTACCTTACAGTTAGGATAGTTTAATAAGTACAGTAGTAACTAATATAGAAACTATCCATATTTGAAGTAATAGGTAAGATAAGTAAGGTCTTAACGTGGATATCATTTGTTGATATTTTATTACATATTTGATATTGATTGTTCCTATTCATAGATCATAGTAGGATGATTCAAGTTCTAGCTATTGATAGCTTAATTAGATAACATACATACTTAGATTAAGATTAAGTATGAGTAAGAGATTAAAAATTTTACTGATAGAAAAGCTATGTAAGGAACATCTCAGTTCCAGATGTCTCTCCTAGTAAGGTATAATAATAATACTGTAGTTTACAAATTAGATAGTTTCTATATAAATGGGAGCATTTGAGTTGAGTTGTGTGGTGAAATGTTGTAGATGTACATTATCTACGCTAATAAAAGTTCTATCTTTACGGTGCTTCGCTGAGTATGCTTAACGTTTGGTAAAAGGGCATTAAAGTCGGTAGTTATTTACAGACTTTTACTGTACGTTTCCTTGTCGTAGAGTTGAAATTGTGACAGTCTCTAGGTATCTGTATTCGCAAATACTATTATCTTCATCAGGTAGCAGCAAGTAAAATTAGCCTTTGACTTATTGGAAGGCTGCAAAGTTAATATTACTAACTACGGTATAAAGTTATTGAACCTCTGACAGGTCTATCAAATGGTAATACTATCTGTTAAATGAGCACATTATCGTAAACCGTCAGCAAAGCGACGGGAGTTTGCACTAGTGTTTAGTTAAAAATACGAGACCTCTAAGTCTGCGTGTTGATCATTAGCGGAGATGTGTTCCCCGTATCGCAGACATTGTTCCCCTTTATATAGTTCAGGGACTTGACTTATTGACTGTAACATCAGGTAATATTATTAACAGCTTTAATTAAAAATTTTTTAAATTTACCATTCCAGATATGGTTTTATTTGTAACGACATTTATTGCAGCGAAGCTTATTGATAAGGAATAATTTGCCGATATCGCAATTTCTTCCGGGGTGCAGTCAACATATTTGAACTTTGTTGCTTTGCTCCAAAATGTATTAGAAAAATAATTAGGTATGATCCAAACATAATTCGGTCCGTACATTTGATGTTTATAAGCCTATATATGCGAAAGATGATTCAATTGAAATTATTGACTACATCTTTTCAAATATATCATAGAATGATAGAAATGTATTAGACCGATTGATGAAACAAATGTAAAACAGTATAATCTAAAGTACTAGGATGTATTTATCATTTAAATATGCTGTAAATCTTAGAGCTTATGCTAGCATCTATTTTAGGAAAGATTAATTAACAATATTTTGATATCTTGGATATATAAATGGTCAATTTCTCTTTAAATTTGAAAATCTACTAGTGCATAACTCGCTCGTATAAATCATAGAATCAGCTCGCCTCGAACAAGCAGTTGCAATCTCTAGGTTGCAGGATAGTAGACTAATAACATTGATATACTTTGTATCTGAGCAATGATTAACCTTATAACAAAATTAACTATGCCTACTTGACCAACCTGGCAAAATACCTCAATGGCGTCTTCTTCTTGTAGATACGCTATAATTATCCGGGCGTCACTTTTCTGTTATGATATGCGAGAAAATAGGTTCACTACATGCTTTAAAGCAAGTTTTGGTTTAATTTTAATTCAATAGAGCAATCAATTACGAAGAAAGATTAACTGCAAAATTTTTGTTTTCTACATCCATATTCCTCATGATGTACATTATTATTTCAGTATAATGAAGAAGCTTTTAGCAAAGAATCGTTCCAAGCTAAACTGATTGTGTATAAATCTATCATAATTACATATTAAGCCAAATATATTTATTATTTTTAAGTTAATATTTATTATTACTATACAGTAGTCCGGGTGTTTATTGAATTACATCTTAGATAATGTATTTGCTCAAGCTACCGAATGAAAACTATATTACTTAAAAATTGTCCTGACCTAATTATACAATAAATAAAATTGTTTATAATGTGAATAACGATCTTAAAAACTTCTATTTGTGAATGCTTGTCACAATTTCACTTCTGCGACAAGGTAACGTACAGTAAAAGTCTATAAGTAGCTACTGACTTAAACGCCCGTTTACTTAACGTTAAACACACATAGTAAAAGACTGTAAAGATAAAACTTTTATTAGCAAAGATACATCTACATCTTTTTACCACACCACTCAACTCAAATGTTCCCGTTTATATAGGAACCGTCTAATTTGTAAACAACAACAGTATTATTATTATATCTTACTAGGAGAAACATCTCGAACTGAGATGTTCCTTACATAGCTTTTCTATCAGTAAATATTTTGAATCTCTTACTCATAATTAATCTTAATCTAAGCTCGTAGGTTGTCTAATTCAACTATCATCAACTAAAACTTGAATCATCTTACTGCTATCTGTCACACAATAACAATCAACATCAAGTATGTAATGAACTATAACAAACAACATCCACGTTAAGGCATTACTTATCTTACCTAGCACTACAAATATGGATATTCTCCATACTAGCTACTACTGTACTTATTAAACTATCCTAATGACAAGGCAACACCGTAACAATGCTATAGCCATACTGGTACTAAAAGCTAGTCTCAATAATCATTAAAGCCACCTTAACTGAAAATCATAAATTTTAACGTATAAGAACATTTACACCTTATATCATACTTTAGATATCTTTCTTATACAGTACGATACTTATGAATTTATCTACACTACTTGCTATGATTACGAATTTTATTGCTGCTATCTCTAGAGGATGTTAACAATGTAATACATGGATTAAAATGGACGCGAGAAAAAATATTGATATTCCTAATGGAAAACACTCGAAGATTTGATACAAAAATGCTGTCTTTTGTGCTACTTACTCTTGCCTTTTAAATGCAATTCACGACGTTTCAAGATACAGATATAGAAAACCTCAACTATAGTATTAATTTGACGCGATCTGTATCTATATTAAGGATGTATTTTGGCGTAATGTCGGCCTATTAAAATAGGTAAACCAACTTTGGCCAAGGCGGATAGAGCATACGCGTATACCCGTATTATTGTAAAAGTATGAGTACATGACAAATTTCTACATCAGACGACGTTTTTTATGTTTTCTAATTTTTTCTACTTGTCGTGTTCAGCTCGCGATAAGGAAAGCTAAGAAGTGCTTTATTTACATTACTAGGTAGAAATATCTCACAATCTAGCTTAATGCTGTTATTGTGTAAAAGAGTCAATCTGGTATATTATTCTAGCTGAATGACTTTCTTTCATCGTAATAGCTATTTAAATCAAGTACTATAATTATTACCGACCTTTAAGATTTTAATCTGGCGACTGGAATTAGTGCCAGTGATAAGTCCTTCTTCGGCAATTACTTCAATTTTTGCTCGATGGAGTTCACTTAATAATCTCTCCGTACTCTAAAAATTATAGCAAGGTATTAAATACCAGTAGTACCAGTAGTGTACAAAAATTAGTGATTAGCTTAAAACATAAAGCTATAACTTGCTTGGACAGTGTGAATTTTCTATTACTACAGATAAACTGCATTAAATTAAAGAAGATATTTCTTTAGTTTATAAAATACAATTATTGAAGAAAAATGGCTAACATAATTAGTAATACCATGTTTTACATTTTTTAAGAATATCAATAAACAAAACGAGATTTACTGCATCGTATAGATCGCTTCTTCTGGTCAGCGTGGCTACTCTCGTCCAATTAAAATGCTTGAGTAGTATTATCTGAGGTAAACTCCAAGCATTAATGGAAAAGCATGTTCGGAACACAAATGGATATTTACTTTTATCAGACAGTAAGACACCCTCGGAAGAGTATGTTGTCTAATATGAACAAATACAAGATAGGGAATTAGTTATAACCTTTGCTTATGATTGACTAATTAACAGGTTACCGGTAATAAATTAGTAAATGGCTTATCATCAAATAAATTAATAAATCTCGTCAGCTAGGGTAAGCAAATTGAACCTCTTTGATTGCGATGATACAATTGTGTTAAATCAGAAATCTATAAATTATAGGCATATACGTCTACGCATTTACTTCGAGTAAGCGATCTTCTATTGTACTAGAATCATTGCCGGCCCTTAAAACTTATTAATGAATTTCATAAATCGAAATTTTTTGTCGCTGCTGGCAAGTTGTGACAAGAGGTGTGGGAATAGACTTTCTAAATAAAAGTATTCGTTCATTTTAAACTCTCAGCAATCAAATGTCCTGGTTAATCTAGATCGTATTCGGCAATCATGTAATAATAACATTTATAAGATTCTTTGCTGATAAACATGGTGGATTATTTTTATAATTACTTGACATCAATATTGCTTATATACGATTTTCCCACATACGTGCATTAACGTAAATAATTAGAATACGCACATATTCGTTATTTTAAATTAATCCGAAATGCCGATCTTGAATACATATATGGGTATTTTTAGTTAAGATTTTAATACAAACACCTCTGTTAATTACGGATGAGATATCCCTCGATCGACATTAATTTATGTTACGGTACTTGAAAGGAAAGCTCTAACTAACACAGTACCGTATTTGACATTCTTTGATTAAAATTATAGCATCGAATACCGCCATAATTTGTAGAAAAATCGATTCATGACCGAGCGGAAGCTACTACGGTAGTCAATTGCTGTAATCTGACGTATATTATCTCGCATTCTTCCATGCCGCGAATACTGCAATATGTAAGGCGTAAGATTGCAGTGAACAGTCAAATATGGCCGGTTCTTCGATAGCTGGGACAAAGTATTTTAAAATTCTACGGTATATTCAAAAGAATAAAATATGTGTAAACCCTACCGGTAGCTTTAATTCATGAATAATACTACTTTCAGACAGTATGATATCAAAGATGAAAGGCAATATTAATTAACGTGCCGTACCGTAACTGATTTACGCGTATGTTATTTAATTTCAAAGTTAAGGGTGGTGTGATATATACCAATCACGAAATTCCAAATTTTAGAAAAATAAGGGCTTTATTGAATCTTATACAAAGATTAACTACACAGCTCTACTCTAGCCGAATACTACTTCTAAAGACTTCTACAACGAACTAACAGAATAATCTAAAGTTGCATGCTTTTATACTTTCCGTAGCATTCGCAGCTACAATCCGCATGACAACCTTTTACCTTATTTTACACATAGTTAAATTATTCTTAGTAAGACTATTCTACTGCGGACCATCATTAATCCAATATGGATACGACTACAGTACTTACGTAGACATTATTCACACCAGCCAAAGTACAATGAATTAACCATATCCTAATATATGATTTACAGTTCTATTTTTACCTATAGCCATATTAGTAACTCAACAGCTTACTGTATATAGTCATCTGTACTCTAGCATAGAGTCTCTACCGCTACAGTCTATAGTTACAGCTACCAAATATCTCTTAGGATAAATATCTACCGTACATTATACTACACATGGCTAACAGTCTACAATCAATACTAAGTTACATTACAGGTGGATGCAGACTTCCGCTATTGGCGATTAGAGAATCAATTGTGTGTATGCTTGCAGATTATGTTTAATGTTAGAGCTATTACAATTTAGCTATTCAATTTAAATATGAGCAAAATCGTATTCTGCATATAAGAAATGTGATATCCGAAGATTCATTTGAGATCCTATTGTATACTCTTTTTCAGCAGAAATCAGCCCTGTATCTCCTTCCGTAATAAAATATAAATAGTTCAGAGAAGCTACATTTTAAATTTACTAAGTAGCTATATAAATTCTTTCATATTTAGATCATTTTATCTTGATCGAATCGTGTGTAAGGTAGGAACTTATTTGGATGCGGGTTTATTCTCATGAAATGTTGCGATTTAAAATTGTTTGTACGGGAATGAATAAGTTGCTAGATTGAAAGAACTTAATATTCATATGTGATAATCGAATGGAATTTATCTCGATATTACTACGCCGTGAGGTATAATCATCCTGTCCTCACTCATTAAAGTTAACGACTTCTATACCTATATACTGATAGTTCGTTTCTTTTTAAATACCGTAAAAATTTATATGAGTATAGATTAGCCAAACAGTATCACTGTACTAATGCAATCAGTTTTGCATTTTAAATCATGACATACAGTATTCCTAAATCATTTATATGGCACGAGAATAAATTTGTTAATTTATTAATGTAATGCAAATGATGTGGTAGGTTAAATACCAGTCGCTGCGCCTGTTGTAAATCGACTGATCATTAAAGCAGATGATATGACTATTACTATCGGTAACAGGATCTAAAAGTGCTAGGTAACTGTATCCCCTTAATCTATTTTTACCTTAACTCTTAAGATCAGTAATGATCAAGACAGGCAAAATTAGATTTCTTATTTATTTTCACAATTTAAGGACACGTTCTCTAAACATAATAGCTCTAATTGACCGAATTAACATACCGTACTAAATTCTGATGTAAACACCAAATCTATCTCTAGATGATATCAAATTATAATCGTATTTTATTGTATATTATTATGAAGAGATTACGTTAGGATTTTCAAAAGTGGTAAATTTTTATCAACACAAGTTAAGACAGATTCTAATATTGTTTGCTACCTATGCAATAATTAGTACTGTACGTGGCAATGATCGATTATCCTACTAATTAGTTATACTGCATTTCTGGATTAGATTTAATTATTGCTAATTACTATATGCCCAAAAATAGTCTCGATCCACAAAATATGTGTGAGTGAAACTAGAGCCAAATTCACTAGCTTCTAGCGTATTGCGTATTTTATCAATCTTGCAAGTTGATGCTGTAAATAGTTGTCCAATGACCAAATATTTTAGTAAAAAATGAATACCAATGTGTTTATGCAATATTACTTCCTTGGAAATTAATTTCTACCTAACAAATAGAGTACTAAACTGTTGTAAATGCCACGGATTAATTACGAAATATGCACAACTATTAATCTATTGAGGAGATGTTATCAAGTTACGATATTTTTAGCGCTTTCGGTCATAATATTTCAAAGTATAATAAATACCAGGTAAATGAAATTACTTGGACATAATATGGTGCATTTCCATCTATGGTATTAATGAAATGGTTCTGAAGAAAAGAGGGCGTGTAATTTTCAAGCGTTAGTAATTAAGAGAACAGAAGACTTGCTAGGATTGTTTGACGAAATAAGTGTCAATTAAAGATTGTTTCGGCAATAAGAAGCTGATGGTTATGATAATATCTCGAATCTGAACTTGTTTATTAAATTAATAATGCAATATTTAATTTTGAAATATTAAACAGAAAACTGAATAGTAAAGTACAAATTGGATAAAGCTAAGATTTTTTGACTCTCTCCCAACGATTATCAAAAGGACTCTAAGATTAAACTACCTACTTTGTGAGGATCTTAATATTGCCTTAGTTTGACTAAAAAAGATATTGATAAATGATGCTTAATGCTCACTAGTTATTACTAATGTTCAATACAATTATATCAGAAGATAAGTCTTAACGCATAAATCGAATATTATTGTGAAAGTTTCGTATATTTGACGAAAACCAACCTGAATTAAGTTGAAATATTTTGCTACTCCAGCTATTGCGGATGTAACACGAGTAAAACCAGAGCCTAAAAGCATTATTTTCGTTGGCGGCAGCTGGATGAAATCGAATAAGATTTTAACACCTAACGTAGCCACAGCCTTTACGAAGAAATAAATGATATAAAGGAGTTGATATCAATGGCAAAAATTTGCTATAACATGAACTTTCTTATATTATTTAAGTATTTAGAACCAAGTAGTGACGATGATGCAAACTTTAAAGCAAAACGGTAGGATCATTTTTAAACTAATTTTAGTTCATAAATTTACCTTGGTATCTCGAACAATTAAATTCAGACGATAATTAGGTAATATATCATCTCTAGAATTAATATCGTCGATTGCCATTTGAGATACTGGTAGGAGACCACTAGCATTCCATTCAAAGTTGTCGATGGGAAAAAATCCACCAAGATACAAGTCAATTTTATCACTTTTACAGCAGCTATCAATGCTCATATGAAGTAAAAGAAATATGGTAAAATTAAGCTTCATAATGTAATAGGGTATTTTAGCAATTTCTGGAATGTAAGTAGAAGGATACGAATGTAGATGTTGAAGAATATTATGAGGTTGCTGAAGTTGTATTAGAGGCAGAAGACATCCACTATTTTAGACTGATTTTGTGAGACACCTTTACTCCTTCAAAAAATTTGATGGAAATAGATATTCAATATCAATTTCAATAGTACCGTACAAATTGCAAAAAATTCTATCTGGTCAGAGTAGCAATCAATATTATCAATTATATTTTCATGAGTAACCAATATAGTAATGACGTGTAAGTCAATATCTTTCTAGAACAATACAAATAATAAAGGACTCATTTGCACATACTAAATCTATCGACTCGCATCCACTGATAGACCATTCCAAAAACATAAAGAGAAAACTTGCAAATATCATGCTTTATTTTATTATAAATAACAACACTAATATTGTTAATATTATTAATCTACAGACCTGCATGTAATTGTTTACGGAGCTAATGGCTCCAACCATGTAATCTAACGCTTACGTTAATTTATCCTTATTCAACAAATTTAATATAGCTAATTTATATCTACACTATGGCATATGACTAATACAATTAATTCATTGCTCATTAATGTTGTTTACGCCATCTGCGATACTCCGCCTTAGCCAATGCAATTATGAGTTTATTAGTTCAGTACCAGTAGCTGTTTCGTTGCCGCCTGTGCTAATCTTTTCAATAAAAGTAACTTAATTAATTAACCTACGCCTGTTGTAAGTGGCTTTCGTGTGTTGTATGACTAATTTAAATCTTTAGGTTCAGTGACATCTTTGCAATTAATTTAAGACCCTAATATACTTCGACTCCCGTTATTAAGATTGTGATAGCTTTCCTTTATATTATTCCTTTCTTTGAGTAAAGAAACAATTTTAAAAGATAAAAATATAATTGCATAGATGAATTTTTATTGTTCTTGGCGCATTTTCCTAGTCTTGTCGATATCTATAAAACTATCTGAATAAATGATTAAAATCAAACTAGACTGGTAATTTACAGATTATTCTATGATTATTTCAAGGTTTTAATGTCTTCGTTCGATTCAATAGACACCTCCGATCAGTTTCGATAACAGCACTTCTTTATCCTCATTTTCTATCTTAAAATATTTATTTACCGCAATAGTACTGCATTATATTACTTTTAAATAGATTATTAGGCAAAAATGATGTAAATAGCGACTATCTTCTTACTCTATTTTAAAGTTACAATAGTACAAGTTCGGTTATCATTATGGAAGCTAATTATATAAATTCAATTTAGGTTGTGATACGATTATCCTCGTCGATGCTTTCCTATTAAGTCAAATTAAATCTAATATAACCCTAGTTTAGGGTTATTGTAATATATTTGGAGCTTGATCGGTGTTTAACCATCCTTAATAAGGTTATGTTACTTTCTGCTAATATAATAATTTCGACATTTCTTGTAAGGTGTTACGGTGTTGTATGACAATGTAATGTAGAGATTAGAGTAGAAATAATATCTCTTCTAGGAAAATATTTATTGGCTTACCCTTATTTAGTCAGTTTCTAGTTTAGATGTCTTGCGTTGTTACTAACAGTTCGAATCACTGTGATTATAAATAAATTATGGTAGATTGTAGATTATCACGGGAACGTTCCGTGATAATGACATATTGTAATCTGATTATCTTGTATTAGTCACTAGATATATATGTACGTAAATACTGCTGCCTTCATTAGGTAGCGGCAAGTAAAATTAGCCTCTAATTTATTGGATAGCTTCAAAGTTAATAGCACCGTACTAGCAAGGACTCTTAGACCATTGTAGAAAAATATATAAATGCTTGTCACGGATTACTCTCCTGAAAAAGGATATAGTAGAGTATTCTGCTATTCTAAGTTGCTACAGTCAAATACTATTCTAGTTTAAGCCTAGAACTCTCCTTCTAGACTGCAGTCACAAGACAAACTTCACAATGTCGAGCTACTTTTACTTTATTCCAACTATTGAGACCAACTCTGTTTTACTCGTGAAAGGCAGAAATCTACTACAGTACAAATACCGATCTATACCGCTATTCATAGTGTATTTGTATCGTAATAATGCCGTATACCGTATAATAAAGAGTTATTAAAATTAATGTTTAATGTAAAATACGAAGAGTCGAAGTCTTTGTATTATTCGCTTGCAGAGAAAGTCTTCTGATAGCGCAGATATCTTTCCTGATTCAGGGACTCAACTTATTGATCGTAAATTACGTAATCTATTGCAAAGCTGGTTTGTATGAAGAGGTTAATAAAGCAATATTTATTTATACTATTACGTGAAATCACGATTGGCGATATTAATCAATTTACTTTTTAATTCTATTCTGTGTTTTCGTAAAAAGAAAGTATATATATGCAGTAAAGCGTCTAGATATAATTGATATGGTTTGCATTTCTTGTTAACTTTACTTTATTACGTAATTCACTTTTTAGCTAGAGGCATAACAATAAGTCCTGCAGTTCCATACTATGGATTGCAAATTTATTTATAGTTAGCGAAATACTTATCTTTCCACTTTCACTGTCAAGTCCAGTACTAACTTAGCTCAATCTGTCAATGACCATTACTTACAATATCATAGGTAAAAATGCTACAAATGACGTAATGTAGATATCTTTCGCGAACAGATACTTGCATAGTATCACAATTAGTATTAATTTTGGTATATAGTTCATATATACCGGTATTGGCCAGTTATTACTTGATCAATGTCGGTAATGCTACCTTTGGGCTGGCCATTACCGGTCTTGCCTAGCTATTACTTGATCAATGTCGGTAATGCTACGTTAGGGCTGGCCAATACCAGTAATGCTCAGGTATATGCCTACCAAATGTCGGTAATGGCTAAGTCTTTATTAGGCTTGCCAATATCGCATTCTACTCAACGTAAATGCCACGTAAACATATCGAATTACATCGGTAATGCCTTAGTCTTCATTAGGCTTGCCAATATCGCATTCTAATCAACGTAAGCACATCAAATTATGAAATATTTTTAAACGCATAAATCGAGATTTTTACTCAGTTTATGGTCAACATCAACATAAGCAAATCAAACGATTTCTAGATACAATCATATATGCTGAACAAACGTAGACGGTAATTACCGACACTTTTTTTGGTTCCTGTAGTCCCAGTGACGGATATAACCGACACTTTTTTTTAGTCGCGAAATCCCAGTGACGGCATTTCCCGTCACTAAATGCAGTTAATTTAACTAGTTCCTGAGCGTTTATCAAGTAAGTAACCCTGGAACTTATATAGGAAGTCAATAGTGGGAATACTGGACTCTGCCCAGCAATTTTTGTATTTGTCTTAATATAAGATTAGCTTATGGGAGCGCACTGCTCCAATAATTAATTACATGTATTGGTGCTGAGCTCAGGCTCGCTGATTGGCACCATAATTGGTTGTTTTTCATTAGTGTTGTTTACTATCCAAGCTCATACTAAGTCATGTTAATTGTCTGGGAGTAATTCCCTATAGTAACTTATACAATTTGTGGAAGGAGCAATTTACTAGTATGCCCCACAAATGAGTGGGGATGGTATAAAAGACCGAGCGAATTGCCATTCGCCGGCAGTAGTCGCTCCGGGCTAGGACGAACTAGTAGAGACTAGAAACCAAATGACTGGTGAATAAAAAGTGCTAGAGGTCTGAAGGAAACCTGAGTAGTTGTGTGACTGTGAGGAAAGAGTGTTCCCTTAGAAGAAGTCTTCCAAGTTAGTGGAAGACATACACAATTACTATAGCACCTGACCTAACCAAATCACAAGTGGGATTTGTGACAATTATATTAGCTATATTAGCTTATTCTTCATGTATGCCTTTTGATTCAGCGACCAATACCGATATTGGCCTGCCCAAAGGTAGCATTACCGATATTGGGCCATGTAATAGCTGGCCATTACCGGTAATGCCGTAGTAATGGCGTAGTAACGCGGCCGTCATTACCGGTAATGACAAGCCATTACCGGTAATATATGAACGTGACCGTATGCGAAGTCGGTCATTTTGCAAACTGCCCGGGCACTTTGCAAAATGATAATCAATTTATCTTTTCCAGCAGTTGCGATAAACGTT